CTCAGAGACTGCAAACCAAGTCAGACCTCCAAGGTGACCCCAGGGTGGTCTATCCCCAGAAGCAAACCAGGCTCCTGGCCACTGTCCATTCTCCCCCACAAAGCAGGATGAGCTTGGACTACTCTGGGTCATCCCTGAACCTCCTCGTCTGGGCAGATACCCTGTGCCTCCAGTTGAACTAGACGTCTCTGGGGAGGGGTTGGGGAAGACTGGGGACAAAGAAAAGCTTGCCTTCTGGTGGGGTTTCTGAGGGGATGGCCCTGCTCATCATTCCTATCTCCCTAGTTCATGACAGTTATAGATTAAATACAAATTTAGTCAAGAAACAGGCTAAATTAAAATATAAGAACAGTAAAAATGTCTAGAATAGGCAAATTCATAGAGACAGAAAGTAGATTAGAGGTCACCAGGGGCTAAAGGGGGAGTTATTGCTTAACGGGAATGGAGTTTCTGTGTGGGAGGGATGAAAACTTTTGGAAACAGGTAGTTGGGATGGTTATGCAACACTGTGAATGTAGTTAATGCCATTAAGTTGTATACTTAAAATGGCTAAAATGGCTAATTTTATGGTTTTTTAATCACAAAAAAATAAAATAAAATAGAAAGGCATAAGAAGAGTGAAACCCAATGCTGAAGGCTCTATTTGTAAACCCCTGGTTTCCTAGAATCAGACACACAAGGATTTTTTTCCCCACTTTTAGAATTCAACAATTCACATCATTTGGCAAATGATACCCCGCCCTTTATTAGAGATAAAAGCACCACGTGGGGACTAGTAAATTGCTCAAGTGCCCCCTGTTTGTCTCATCATCACCATCATCATTTTCCTCCATCATTAGATCTAAATAATGATTTGCAAATATAATTTTATTTTATGATTTCTATAGCAAGAACTCAGAGTGGCAGTTGGATCAGCTTTTTAAAAAAGCTTTATTGGGAGCACCAGATAAGTATTCCAGAAATAGGTTGTATAGAGACACATGGAGGGTAAAGACATCCCTTACACTGAGTTGTGAATAGAGTGAGTTTTTTCTTATTTCATAAAAACTGTATTGTTTGATCAGGATTTTTTTAGTCTTCATGCTTTGTAAATGAATATTACCTGCACTGCTACAGGGGAAAAAAAAATAAGATCATCCGTACCATGGTTGATAAACATTTTTAACTAATGTACATCTCAGTATTTTGAGGTTTTACAATCACTCTGTACCTAAAGTTACTATGTGTACCTGCATTTAATGGAAATTCAGTTAGTCTCTCCTCTGGTAAAGGTTTGCATTTCTGGGTCCAGACGGATGGGGTTGTTATACTGATAGACTTCAGGCTTACTTTTATGACTTTGTTCTAGTTTCATCATTAAGAGTAGAAATTAAAATTGCATCCTCAGTTACAAATTAGCAACATGAAATTACTAAAGATAAAGCTATGTATTATTACTTCAAATATCTAGGAATACTGCCCAGTTGGCATTGGTACAGGATTCCTGCTTCCATGAAAACAATACCATTGGCCACCAGATTTCAGTTTGTACTGGAGCCTGACTTATAGGCAGTCTAATCTAACTGGGAAAAACCTCAGCAAATTCTAGAATGTTCCATAATATTAAATGTAGTTGGCCTTGTTTTTTAGAAATGGAAGTTCAAAGTGATTTCTCTAATCAAATTAATGATTATTGGTAAAATTTGGAATAGAAAACTAAGGTTTCCTATTTCCAGTTCAATTTTCTAATTGTTCAGACTGTCTTTCATAGACTCTTAAATATTTTTTACTTCAATTTCTTACCTTTGACAGCTCAATTAAATATTAAAAATATCCCACTCTGCTAAAATTATTGATCTTTTCTTCTAGGGGTCTCATTTACATTTAAATAAGTAACATAAGTCTTTATGTAAACACACCTGAACTACAGAATTTAAAATCAGAGGGACCCAGCTCAGAGTGGAAGCAAACATTTAAGAGCCAGCCAGGCCTGGGGTGGTGACCCTGCTGGGGCTCTGGTCCCTTTTTGGGGAGTCATGATGCTCATTTTGAGGTGGTTATGGTTGGGCCCTGCTCGCCTGCAGTGAAGCTGTGAACATCTGGGCCTGTCCTCCTTGACATACACTTTACAGCCCTGAGACGCCAAGAGGCCATTGGCTCTACTCTTAATGCACTAGAGATCCTTTAAAAGCTTTATTAGTAAGGACTATGCTCTTAAAATTTTTAAATACTCACTTGAATCATGTCTGGCCTCCACAAAGTCACTTTATGTGCAAGTTTATCCTGAAACCAGCAACTGAAGACAGTAACATCCTCCACAGATTGACTATTTAAATAAAATGAGGTGGTGTGGCTTCTTAAGAAAACACATTTATTTTCCAAAACACTAAACCTGCCAGGAAAATGGGGGTTTATGGAGGTCAGGGAATTGATGTATTAATTATAAACCCTCTCCTCTACTTTTTAAAGCTGATGCTCTATTAGTCAATAACTGGATGACCCAGTTTCTGTTATTAAATGTATCTGAGAGGGGTAACATTTTAACAAATTCTATAATTCATACTTTCCATTAAATCAGACAAGCCGAACCTAATTGGTCCAAATAAATGAAGTTTTATTATACCTTTTTAAAATGGGAGTCTGTTTTCCTATGCACACATTATCTGGTCTATTAATTCACCAAATGGCAACTGCACCCAATAGCGTCCTGGTGGTTGCACAATATGGAAAGATGGAGGGCTGGAGCCCCACTGGCTTAGAGGCAGAGTCCTGCTCAAGCGCCACATCTCAGAGGAGCCCTCTGTGCTACGGACTGACAAACATGCTTCTCTCCGTTCCTCAGAAATGGTCATGCTCAGGGGACTGATTCACGCTCATCTAAATCCACGAGGGGCTGATTTAAAAGCCAGAACACCAACTTATTAACTTACAGTGGGAGATGGGCCTGGCTCAGGGATCAGGGCAGGGCGTTCTAACGTAGGAGAGAGCCCCCAATGGGACAGCTCCACCCAGGAGACCAAATTAAACATCAGAAGTTGCTGGGTTAGCAAAGATTAAAAGCAGAGAGAGTCAGATTTCCTCATGAGACACTTCTATCCAGCTACCAAAGCCTCGTGAGATATACGGTGCACCCTGCCAGGCACAGACGACTTTCTAAAGAACCGATGGGAGCAGTGCTGGATAAACACACGGGCACACTCCTCACTGAATGTCCCCCCTTTGTAGACTGGGCACAGTCCTCCAGTCCTCCATGAATGCCTGTTTGTGCACAGGGCACACTTTCTTCCAGTCCTCTGAAGGCGGGAAGTCATACCCTGGTCACCTGTCTCCTAGAAGACATACATAGAAGGACAGCCTCACTCTGTTATCTGTTGGTTGTTACCAGTTTCACACTGACCTCGTTCCAGAATTTCAAGGGTACCTGACCTGAAAAGAATGTGTAAAATTGCAAAAGGGCACCATCAGTTTGAACTCTGGCAAAATCATGGCCAGGCCTACCTCAACTTGGCCAGTGAAATCCTACTTGGGCCAAGAGTCACAAAGGCTAAAAGCACACGAACACACAGTAAGCCAGGGTCTCACGTCAACGTTTTACAATATGATATGTGACAGCAGTTCAGCCCACCGGAGGGGATCTTCTTTTTCTTCATTAGGGTGGTAAAAATACACATAACATAAAGTTTGCCGTCTTAACCATTTTTAAGTGTACAGTTCAGTTGTGTTATGTATATTCACATTGTTGTGCAACCAAGTCCATGAGCTCTTTTCATCTTGTAATAGTGAAACTCTGTAGTTGTTAAGCAACAACACTCCGTTCCTCTCCCTCCCCCAGCCTCTGGCAACCATTCCATTTTGCTGTCCTTATGGATTTGACTACTCTAGGTACTTCGTAAAAGTGGCACCAGACAGTATTTGTGTTTTTGTGACTGTTCTCAAGGTTCATCCATGTTGTAGCGTGTGTCAGAATTCCCTTCCTGTTTAGGGCTGAATAACATTCCACTGTATTTATAAACCACATTTAGTTTATTCATTTGTCTGTTGACGAACATTTGGATTGCTTCCACTTCTCAGCTACTGTGAATAATGCTGCATTCACTGGTGTACAAGGGCCTATGCAAGTCCCTGCTTTCAATTCTTCTGGGGAGATACCCTGAGGTGGAATTGCTAGATCATATGGTAATTCCATTTCTAATTTTTTGAGGAACATTATACTGTTTTCCATCAGAGCTATACCATTTTACCTTTTCAACTTCTCTACATCCTTGCCAACACTTATTTTCTGTCTTTTTTTCATAGTTAGCCATCTCAGTGGGAGCGAAGTGGATTGGGGAGAACCTTCTAAATGCATCTCAAAATACTCAGGTACCAAAATTCTAAGTTAGGGCTTTAGAATTCCTGGATTCCAAGGAGATGCACGGCTCTACAGCCCATGTCGTTTGCTGCAGATACTCCATGAGGCATTAACTCTCCTTTAATGCAGAGCATTAACTCCATCTAGCAAGACAGTCCACTGAAGCTCCAAACAGCAAAGCAGCTTGCCCAAGGGAGCGGGAGGGCCACAACCAGGTTCATACCCTCTGACCACGCTCTTCTGCTATCCTCTCTAGTACCACACTTGGAGGACTGTGGCAATGCAAAGAAAAGGAGAAAGAAACCTATTGGATTAAAACAACGCTAAATACAAATCTGCTGAGCAGAACGCCACTTCAGCTCCTTAAGGGAGCCAAACTTCTAGAAGGCTGAGCTCTGAATCGGGAGGCTGGCCCTTATTTACCAGAAACCTCCAAGGAGGCACCAGCCAGCATGTCCCTGAAGGACAGTCCTGTGAGTGCCACTAAGGCCACCCAGACAAGGAGAAGGACAGGTCCAGGGGGCTGATTCACGCGGCTCCCTTGTGGGGACCATCACACAGGAGGAAGGACAGGGATTAAAGAGTTAGAACCAGCTTGAGCCTGCTCAATGAGTGCCGAAATAGCAATTCACAGACTTGTTTTCCTGGCACAAAAGGGAGAGGGTAGTACCTGCAGTTGGAGCCAAATTCTTGGATGTTTCCTCAGACAACCCAAGGTATTCTCTGATGAGATGACTCAGCTTTTGGTAGGCAACTTCCAGATCATCTACAGTAAATGAGAAAAGGTACTTTAAGGCAACAGAATCATACCAAAATATAGTCAATTTGCAACTGTTGGTGGTAATGATTTTTTAAGCTACATCTAATGTTATGACTATTGTGGTAGGCAGAATTCTAAGACCCTCATGACACTTCACCCTCATATACCTGCCTCTCTTCAGTGTGGGCAGAACCTGTGAATGTGAGGGGGTGTTACTCCTATGATTATGTCATGTTAAATGGCAAAAGGGATTTTTGCAAATGTAATGAAGGTTATTCATCAGTTGAGTTTGGGCCAGTCAGAAGGTAGACTACCCAGGTGGGCCTACACATGATCACAGGAGCCCCATAAAGGAGGAGAGTTTTCTGGTAGAAGAGGAAAGCAGAGACTTGAAGCATGAGGAGAATATGATGTGCTGTCACCAGCTTGAAGACAGAAGGGCCACATGCACAGGACCTGGCAGCAGCCCATAGGACAGAGGGCAGCCCCTGGCAGAGAGCCAACAAAAGAAGCAGGGACCCCAGTCCTACAACCACAAGAAACTGCAGTCAGCCAACAGTTAAGAATGTATGTTAGAGAGGATTTTCCCCCAGTGACCTTACACTTCAAAAATAAAACTTTGCTGAAGGTTACTGACCTGCATTGATGACTGCATCAAAATATCCTGGAAACTTCTGGTTGATTTCAATATAAAGGTCCACTCTAGAGACAGCAAATTCAATCTCTACACGACTAAATAATCCTTTTCTCCGCAAATATCCCTCATATTTTTCCTTGTTCATGGGCACCACCAGGATATATCGAGGCTCAAAATAGGAAAATTTCAAACTTCTTACACCCTATTTGTTTAAAGAAAAGGTAATAAATTCGAACCAGATACACAATTTAGAAATCATGTTGGCGACATCTGACAACATAGGTGTAATAAGTAGTCTTGTATTAAAAGATTTATTTGGATAATTAGCTATTATTTTCCTGCAAATATCTCAAAGTTGGATTACTTCCCTTTGTCCATCAAATATTGTTATTGGGAATAAAAGAACTAACTACTCTAATAAACATGATGGTTAAAAAAGAAAATTGCTAGGGGTCCCTGGGTGGCTCAGTCAGTTAGGTGTCCAACTTTTGATTTTAGCTCAGGTCATGATCTCAGGATCATGAGATCGAGCCCCGTTTTGGGCTCCACACTGGGCATGGGGCCTGCTTGAGATTCTCTCTCCCTCTCCCTTCCCCCCCTCCCTGGTCATGCTCTCTCTAAAAAAAAAAAAAAAGAAAAGAAAAGAAAAACAAAAAGAAAATTGCCAGATACAAACAGGTACATTCACAGTAGTGCTGCATCTTTAGTACTGAAAACTGATTTCTTTTTTTTTTTTCAGATTTTATTTTTAAGGAATCTCTATACCCAATGTGGGGCTCAAACTTACAACCCAGAGATGAAGAGTTGCATGCTCTACAGACTGAGCCAGCCAGGCACCCCACTCAGAAGTAATTTCAAGTCTACAGTTCAAAGAGCACCCTTGCAGCTCCAGGAGATAAAGATCTTACCAGAGAAAAAAGGCTCCTCTGTTACCCCTTTGTCATCTCCTTGGGACCGGTCCTATTCCTAAACCAGCAACCTGGTTGGCTGGTTCCTATTACATCTCACAGCTTCTACCCAGAGCAAGGGACAGCCAAGCTGCCAGGAGCTCATGCCAAGGAGCAGGGCTGGGTGGTGGTCTGTGGATCAGGTGGGCTGGGTGGTGAATAACTGTGGCTCCCCAGCTCCTGCAGACCATGAGCAAATCCCACAATTGCTCCCCGAGCACTAATTTCCTCCTAGCTGAAATGCAAGAGCCCTTCCAAATGAACTCTAAAGCTCCTTCCTCCTCGATCCCATCATCAGTAGTTTAGTTCAACATTCAAAATCTTTGTTTTAAACATTCAGTGGGGGGAGTGGGAGTTGAAATATGGGATCTTTTAAAAAAGTAATTTCTAGAAGTATCAATGACTAGAGCAGTTCGGAGAAATGCTTTCACTTGGGAGAATCAGGGACATCAGGCCTGGTTTATAGAGTCAACCTCTTGAAAATGAGTAGGAGAAAGTTCTCAGGGAGGAAAAAGGAGACAGGAGCCAGCACTCAGAGAACCAGTGAACCGGAAGAAGGTAAGCACGAGGGGCTGGAGAGTTTCTGCCTTGTCCGAGGAAGATATTTTTGGTTATTAACATAGAAACACAGAAAACCTCCTTAAAGATGCAAACGCAATCAGTTGTGGAAAGATGAGAACTGCAGGATTTTGAAGTTAGAAAAACTGAAGAGCTGGAAGAAACGTGACCAGTCTCACTGAAGTGAGGCAACACCCCAATCCAAGGAGCCAAAAAGGAATCAGTCTCCTTCTCTGCCCAGTTACAAAGGAAACAAGTTTTAAAGAAGTTTCAGAGTCGATAGTAAAGGAATATTTGGCCAGCCCAGATTCTGTTTTCTGTAAGTTTGACCTAATGGAATCATTTTTCTAACTTTTTTTTCTGACTACAAAACTGTTAGACCGCTCGGTGAAGGTACCTTAAAAAGACGATCAACTATCTTTAAAGACTTCACATACTTAATAAAGCTATCTATTTTTAAAACAAATAAGTAGGATAGTCATGGTTTAACTCTGGATCTGGACTGGAGAGAAACTTCTGCATATTGTAATTACAGAAGGTCACTGGGGAGGATGGGATATGGGAGCAGAGAGGGAAGTCTCCTGAATTCTGCAAGTCTAAATCGCTCAGAGCGGAAAAGGATTGCAACCAGCGAGCAAGGGGGGGGAGGGGGGTCAATGAGGGCAGAGCGCACACATCTCCCCCGAGGAAGCAGAGAACAAGGGCGGCTGCACGGAGCTGCCCAGGCAGGTCCTGAGGGGGCCACGCACCAGCTCCACAGCCTGTGAGAAGGACCTTTACCTAATATCACTTTATACAAACAGAGACCATGCCCTAAAAGGGATAATTTGGTGAGGAAATTAACTTAGAAAGTAAATCCCGAGGAGCATTTCTGTCCCAAGGGTATGTGCAAACCATGTCTTGTAGAGTAACTCCTGTCATTTAAGTGTTCATGTCTGGCCCCCCCCCATAGGAACGATAAGCTTCCCCCTGTGCCTGGCAGTGTGCTACCTGCATTCGTATCCCCTCCTCAGCCCCAAGTATATATATACAGACACACACACACACACACACACACACACACACACACACGCGCGCGCGCGCGCATTAAAAATAAACTGACTGAATGAGAAAACACTTACTTCTATTTCCATGTGAATACAACTTGCTAAACCGTCTCTGGCGATAGCTTCTATGGTGTCCCTATTTAATCCATAACGGTGATTAACATAATTAAATGTGAGAATGAATTTCCCCTGAAATTTGAGAAGTACAGAGATTTTCATATAACAGCTGCCATAACGAAAGTTAACATAAATGAAATTATTTGACGTCTTACTTTTATATGCTTTCATAAAACTTACAAATCGAAGGCTGATGATGGGCTTATGAAACTTAATATCAAAATGTGGTAGAGAAATTTATTCAGAAGTCTCAGCTGGCAAAAAAAAAAAAAATTAAGTTTTTGGAGCTCCTGGAGTCTGCTGACAAAACACGTGGGGAGAGCGAAGGCACTGAAGCTTCTGGTAGAATAGATCATTTTGCTTGTTTAACCTGCTTCCTTGCCAAACCTGCACCATAAACGGTCATTACTGAGAAAGCAAAACCGACAGCTCGCCCTTTGCCTCAGCCATGTCGACTATGCTGGCAGGCCAGGTACCCCAGAAAAAGCTTCCATTCTTGAAAGCCCTGCACTCCCAGATAAGCCTGAAGGCCATGAATTACAGGGACATCCAAAAACCTTTGCATCCTGAGATAAGCCATGAAAAACAGACCCAATTCTGTTTTTCCTTATAAAACACAGCTTTTTATTGACACTGCCCCAAGTGTTTTTCAACAGAATTGCTGTGTGCCCTGTAGTCATCTGAGGTTTAAATACTGCCTTCTATACATTCCAGAAGCCCAGTTCTTCCCAAGGCTGTACTCCCTTGCAAAACAGTCCAAGTTAAAACATGCCTCTCGAAGTAGACCTTTTCTTTGACAATGTTATATTTATTAAGCTACTAGGTCTCATCTAAACTGGAAAGCTGATTGCAAAAGAAGGAATAAAAATATGGATGATCTTGGCAACTGTGGCTCCTCATGCACGGGATTTTGAAAGAAATGATGAAATGAAAACTTGTAAGGCTGAATCCCGTCAACTGAATCCCATCAAATGGCGGCATCATCATTAAGAACAGTAGCAATTAGGAGTCCTTTATGCTACTTCTGCCTCCTGGCCCCAGACCTCCTGGAGATTTGGGGATCGGGGACAGGCTATCTGTCCTGGGACAGGGGGCCCGGAAGTCCATGAGACACAAAATATCTGCTGTGGTGGGGTGGGTCTCTAGTGAATGCGTCTGCTAGGAGTGATGGGGAAAACCTACACACCTCGTAATCCAAAGAAGTTTATATCATGCATTCTAAACGTTAAAAACTCAACAATAAATATCCTAATATTTTACTCCTTCAATGTCATACCTTCTTTGTTCTTTGGAGGAAATACTAGGACATCTTTTATATATATATATTGCATCTATATAGGTAGATAAGATACTGAATCTCCCATCAGGTATATACTTTATCTTGTTTACTGTGACTCACCCTGTTTTCAAAATGTATTTTTTTTTTTGGAGGTGGGCGAGGGGCAAAGGGAGAGAGAGAACCTTAAGCAGGCTCCATGCCCCGTGTGGAGCCTGACACGGGGCTCAATCTCACAATCCAGAGATCATGACCTAAACCACAATCAAGAGTCCGACATTTAAGATCATGACCTAAGCCACAATCAAGAGTCGGGCCTGAGCCACCCAGGCGCCCCTCAAAATATACTCTTGAATCACGTTTCAGATATATACTACACATCTGTTTACTTGTGTGTACACAGGTGCACACAAGGGCCTCCCTCTGTGGACCCCAAAGATATTTCCTGGGAGAATGCAGAGCTGGGAAGAATCTGACATTATGCTTTTATATATAAAACAGGCTTTGTTAACCTTTTTTTAAAGAACTGAGATTAAGTAGTCCTCCAGCTTCTGGCTGGGGATACACCTTCCTGCTTGTGGATTTCTTAGTAAACAGCAATAATCATATTTCAGGAGCCTCCAGATCTGTGATCTTACTTCAATAAGAGAGGAAGAATATCTTCAGGGAAGTGACTGCATTTATGTCCTTAAGAAAGGTTCATGTGTCTGTAGGCATGTGGTGGGGTGGCAATTCCACGTGTTGGTGATGAGGGAATGGAGGAGTGAGTGGATGTGACTGTCCACAGGAGGTGTCCAGGGCCTGGGTACATCAGGGTAGACTGCCAAGGAGGGGTGGCAGGCGGTCTGGGTGGGTGTTCCAGGGAGCGGGGCTGTATATACAGACGGCTGAGTGTGTTGGTGTGACTGGAGACGCTGACAATATGTCATGAGTTATAACCTCTAGGTTTGCCTCTTTTTTTTTTTTAAAGATTTTATTTATTTGACAGAGACACAGCGAGAGAGGGAACACAAGCAGGGGGAGTGGGAGAGGGAGAAGCAGGCTTCCCGCGGAGCAGAGAGCCCCACGCGGGGCTCGATCCCTGGACCCTGGGATCACGACCTGAGCCGAATGCAGATGCTTAACGACTGAGCCACCCAGGCGCCCCCCCAGGTTTGCCTCTCAGAAACAGTCTCTAGCTCGCTTTAAGGAAAAGGAGCTCAGAAGCAAAATTCAAGTTGAAGAAAATGACATTATACTGAAGTAACATACGTTAGAAGAAGCAGTAAAAACAAGTACTATGCACCCGTACAAGGATTTTGTAGAGGGAGTCAAACTGTAAAACCAAATATGGTGTGTAAGTACAGCGATTTCTTAGACTAGGAATTGAACCAGACTTAGTTACTACTGATCCAATAAGGTATGGAACGTCAGGGGAGCATATGGGGTACTGAGAATAGATGAACTGAACCAAGAAAAAAATGCCTCAGACTCTAACAAGAGAAATTAACATGAATTTCGGGAACTAGCTGTCTTTCAACCCAAAGAGTCCTACAGGAATCCTTCTTACTAATATCAAGATAATGCTTCCTATCTCTATTAAGGCTTTTAGAAATATAAAAATCCCAAAGTACTCTGGATACATTCAAATGAACTACCAAAATACAGCCCTAGGAGAGAAGATTATAAAGAATCTCCAAGATGTTCTTTTGACAAGGTTAGAGGGGAAACGGCCTAGGGATTACAGTACTTTCTCACTTGGGTTTCTCTGTGAATGTAAGAGAAAACATGCACTATGTGTAAAGCTGGCCCTTCAAGATTAAACTCATAGAAACTGCAGATCCCATGCTTAATCGTACCACAGTTACCTGCACTGATGTATAATGTGGAAGGTTAAGGCTATATATGTGTCCAGGACAGGCAACTGAATGAGACACACCATGATGAAATGATGCTTAGAGCCACAACCGGTAGAAAGCACCAGTGTTGGGGTACCTGGGTGGCTCAGTCGGCTGAGGGTCCAACTCTTGGTTTCAGCTCAGGTCATGATCTCAGGGTCCTGAGATCAAGCCCTGCATCAGGCTCTGCACTCAGCGTAGAGTCTGCTTGTCCCTCTCCCTCTGCTCTTCCCCTTGCTCTCGCTCTCTCTCATAAATAAATATAAAATCTTAAAAAGAAAAGAAAGCACCAGTGAAAGCAAACAGGAGTGGTCTCTGGACAGAAAACTCCAACACCAAGGGAGGCTCAATTCATAAGCTTCGCACATCAGCTCTGTCTGTGAGAGTTGCCTATCTTGAGTAAAGTCTGATTAATGACAGCAGCACATGATAAACACAGATCACAAGAACTTTTCGTAGTGCTCTTATTTCCATTTTCTTAAAACGTCTACTCAATGAGCTTTACTGAAAATTTACAACATTCACTCCAAGATCCTAAAATAAAGCTGCATGTCAACAAGGATGTATACCTGGCTTAAGAAAAAAACAACCCAAGAAGAACACTTCTCTCATAACAAACAACATTTTTCTCTTTGTTATCACTAGTTCCTAATATTGCTACCAGAGGACGTGGTTTCTTGTGTAATACAAACAAAGGAAAATGTTCTTACCATGTTTAGCATTTCATCAAAAACTTCCTGAGAGATAAAATGATAATCGACTCGATCCCCTTCTCCAAAGTAAGGCGGTCTTGTGGTGTGGCAGGCCCTGAAAACACAGTAGATAACTGGTCTACTTCCAGCAGCTTGGGATTCAAAATGGAAAAGGTTTGGGTAAAAGTAGGTTTTAAAAAGTTGAAATTCATCCACGAATCATGAATTGTGAGGTAATGTAGTTCTGAAAACACTGTGGTTTTGAAGTGCTAGACTACATTCAGCTGCTACACTCTACAAGGATTACACAAATTCAGGATTATCCACACCAAATCTTGACCCATTGTTATTGATCACCTCTGAAACACCTCCTCACACACTACTACTTCAGTTCATTACTCATATATTTCCACCCAAGAGTCTTTGTGTCCTCTCTGCTCTGTGGGCATTTCCCCACACCCCTCCTCTCTCACCTGGCTGGCCCAGCTGTCTTCCAGGACCCAAGTTAAGTGTCCCCCTCCCCCCTCTCCCCTGCCTAAAAGCCTTTCTTGACCTCCTATTGCTGATTATACACCTCTTCTTTACATGCTCATAGCCTCAGTGCCTGCCACCGATTGTATCCCAGTTCCTTGCTCAGGACCCCACCTCCTCAGTGCTGCCAGTGCTTATAAACACCAGGTATGAGCCTCCCATGGGAAGCCATGAATGGAGTTCTCAGCTCAACCAGAGAGACCCTTTCTGATCACTGTACGCGACAGCATCCCCTCCCCGTCCCCATGCCCCCACTCACTCTCTATCACTAAAACTGCCTTCCTTTATCCACATATCAGGGTTTTCCCTGTCTTCCCCAGCAGGACGTACAACTCATGAGGAGAGGACTTTATCTTTTTTTTTTTTTTAATTTTTTTTAAATCTTTTTTTTTTTTTTAAGATTTTATTTATTTATTCATGAGAGACAGAGAGAGAGAGAGAGAGAGAGAGAGAGAGAAGCAGAAGGAGAAGCAGGCTCCCAAGGAGCAGGGAGTCTGATGCGGGACTCGATCCCAGGACCCTGGGATCATGACCTGAGCCGAAGGCAGATGCTTAACGACTGAGCCACCCAGGCGCCCGGAGAGGACTTTATCCTGTTCATCTTACTTGCTACTGCATTCCTCACGCCTGGCCCCCACGCAGGTAGTCGCTAGTTATCTGTAACATGAACAAGTAAATGACACCTGTGAAGTGGGTAACAGGCGTGACCAACTCCATTTGGTGGAGGACAATAAAGATGGCTAGTCTAAGGCCACAGAGCCGACCGACCAGCGTCAGTCCCAGAAATAGACAATGGGGTCCCAACTAGCCCATGACTCTTGATTTCATACCATTCTGACTTCCTAGTGTTAAGTTTTGGGAAGGCAATGGAAACTGATCTTTGTGGTTTACTGTGGTTTTTAAAGGAGAAGATGAGAATAGCTAGACATTTGACATGTTATTTCATTCCTTCCTCACAAAAAAACCATGAGGCGAGTATTGCCGTTTCCATTTTACAGATGATGAAACTGAGGCACAGCAATTAAGTAAGGTGACTAAATAGCAACGCCAGGAGGACTCCGTGTTTTACTATCGCGCCAAGAGCACAGAGGTGTAACCTCAAAAGCCTCTCCGTTACAGAGTCCAAGTTCTATAATTTGTACCGCTGTTCCCCTTCCATTATCATCAAGAATTAACTAGACTAGTAAATTTTAAGTTCTTAACATTGTATTTAAATTATAGACCCAGGAAGGAGAATATATTCTAAGAAAAGACTGTCAAAACACATGATATTTGTTCTGTTGTGTGAATACACTGGCATTTCTTCACACACCTTGGCAGGGCCCTGGGACCCTCTGTCTAGTGGTGTCCTTGACAGGCGGGAAAGATAATTCAGTGACTTGGCATCCTGCGCTGTACAGCCTTAGCATAGCCTTTACACGCAGTGTTGGATCTGCATTTTCCAACAAAGGAATTGAGCGGCAGGAATTTTTTCAGTATTTCTAAAAGGAAGACAAAGCAAAGAAGTAATTTGAAGCTTCGAGGCAGGTAAATAGAGAGAAGGCTTCAGTGAGGTGGAGAATGCGGATGACAGAGCCTGTATCCGCTACAGAACCTTCCATTACGAAGGACCTAAGATGACCTGTGGGTTTTTGAATCCTGTCATCCAATTTTCACATGCAGAAATGTTCGCTGTGGAGTATGCTGCCCAAATGTGAACATCTTAAAAAGGAAACACTGCATAGTGAAAGCAGTGTTTCACTAAACTTAGAAAAATAATGATGCCAAATTTTAGACAAAGAAATCTGCTTGGGCCATCACCTTCGGCGTCCTTCTTCTCCCTGGTCTCAGTACAATTCCATTTGTAATTTAGATTTCCGTGAGTTTCTTATTTACTAATTAATTTACTAGTTAAGTCATGGTGAATTAGTTAACTCATGGTTTGCAATGGGAACCACACCAAAGAAGTGAGTCAGAGATGAACGCCAGACTACAACACTGGGCCTGAGAGTCTAAGAGTGAGTTTAGACATTCAAAAGGCTGGTTCATGGGCCAGCTGTCCTGGAGGATCCTAACAAATCAAGTCTATGGAGAAGAGGAGATGATCAGGAGGGGAAGGAATCCGCAAGGTCAGACCAAACAGTGGAATGGCAAAATATTCAGGGAAATGTAATAGGAAGAAAAGATGTCTGAGAAGAGCTAGCAGCTGGATGAGGAGTAGAAATTTTTTGAGTTTGATTCAGAAGCATGCAGTTTTAGAATTTCCATTCTGGACCAGATTGCCTCAGGAAATAAACTTCTTGTTACTGCAAATATTTAGGCAGAGGTTTAGCTGTGAGCACATATAAATTCAAGCACGTGTTGTGATGAGCACTGGGTGTTATGCGCAACTAATGAGTCGTTGAACACGACATCAGAAACTAATGATGTGCTAGATGCTGGCTAGCTGAACATAATAAAAAAAAAATTCAATCACACGGGATAAAAATAGAAAATAAAAAATTAAAAATAAATAAATTCAAGCACATAGCACGCCATATTGTTAGTAAGTGAACTCTTTCAAAGGCTATTCACAAGAGCCCAGATTTTCCTAGGGCATTCGGTAGGAAAATTAAATTGGTCCTAACCCTCAATGCAAATATACATCAGTTAACTGCTGGGCATTTAAAGAGATCATCAACACATAAGATTCCAGCAGCACGTCTGAGTAACCCATTCCAGGAAGCCACTGCCCTGTCCACTTTCCAGTAACGGCACGCCGCTTTCTAACTTACGCCTTCGTGAGCCGTGACTGTACCCCAGCTGGTCCCCGTCTCCAGTGCCCCCTCCCCCCGCCGAGCGTCCCACAGGGCACACTTTCTGGAATGCAGCAGTCCTCGTGACACTCCCTGCTTACAAATCCTTTACGCTCAGACTCCCGTCTGGCTCTGGTCTTATCTTCTGCCATCTTCTTGCATACTTCTGGTACTCCGGCCTGTACCTGCAGCTCATCAGACCTGCCTGTCGTTCCTTCCTCCTGGAAGATGCTCCTGCTCAAGTTCCACATCCCATGTGTCTTCCACATCTTCTATCCCAGAGGCTCTTTACTCCCCTCAGCACGACACCCATCAAACCATCCTGTTAGCCAGCACTGACCTGCCTGAATCCAATACTAGATGGTAAGCTCGCAGGACAAGACCCACGCCTGCTTGTTCTACAGTTTCTGCTGGCACAGGGCTGGTGCTCAATAAACACTGATTAGGTGAACAAATGAACCATCCTACTGGTTTGTCACATCCGGATAAACAGACCTTAGGTTATGAGACTGCATGAAGGTAGCTGCAGCTCATACATCGCATTTAGCTCAAGAGCTGTGGTCTGTTACTTTACTGTATTATCGTACTAAAAGTAAAGATGTTTAGTGGTCGACATCAAGAAAAAGGTTATAAAAAGAGAGACTGCTGTAAAATGGAGATCTTGGAAAGAAAAATAAGGTTTTCCTTTCGTGACTATTCAGCTCACTCTCAAGGCCTTAAATCTGGAAGTTGGACAGATATACCAGCATTGTTTTATGTGTCTCTCATTATTCATTACTCTGCCAGGGAGCCACTGATTTGTGTGATAATATTAAGGTTGGAAATAGATTTTGAAGGCAGTAAATTCCTATCTCCACGTAGAACTAATAGAGGTAAAGAAAGAACAACCAACCTATTTCTAAAACCAAGAACAAATAGAAAAATCAAAACCTAAAATGAGAACAAGATCTCTCAGCCATTCCAATACTTCTTAGACCACCACGTTATGCTTTTAATACTGATAATATCTGGATATACAACTTAGTGTGTGAGAATTTCACTGAATGTCTCAGTCGTGGGTCAATGTAATTTAAAAAAGGGAAGATAGAATACCACAAGAAAATGAAATAGATGGGAAAGAAGATACAAGTAAATGGCAGAGAAAGTGCCTTTGTACATACTTGTATGTTTCATGATGAAACTGTTTTCATGCCTTCCCCCATTTAATTAAAAATCAATAAAAATTATGTTGGATAAGGAATTAAAAAATCTAAACAAGAGCAATGACTTGCCTCTGAGGATGTGCTTTGGTTTTGTCATTTGTTTTAATTAGAAAGTTGCTGCATAGGAAGTAGTACTACCTTACCTTCTCCACAGATGAAATTACTATCTAATACCTTTTTTTTAACCCAATGATATGATCTTTGATCCATGCCTTGATGGAATTTTTAGAATGATGCGCCACTGAGCAAGCCCTGGTCTCTGCCTCCACGGGGACGCCAGTGAGCGGCGGGCCAGTGCTTCGGAGCCTGCGAGGGAGGTGGGTGAGTGAGTAGGCAGTTAGGAGTATCTTTCCACACATCCCACTAATTCCGTCCGGAGGAGAGAGATGACAGCAGCAGTAACCCTGTGGGCACGAAGCTAGTCTTAAGGTTCTGTTTTGCGGGCGCCTGGGTGGCTCAGTCGGTTGAGCAACTGCCTTCGGCTCAGGTCATGATCCTGGAGTCCCGGGATCGAGTCCCACATCGGGCTCCCTGCTCAGCGGGGAGTCTGCTTCTCCCTCTGACCCTCTTCCCTCTCGTGCTTTCTATCTCTCATTCTCTCTCTCTCAAATAAATAAAAATAAAATCTTTAAAAAAAAAAAAAAAAGGTTCTGTTTTGCTGCCTTGTGCCTCCACACAAACTACACACGACGCTAATTAAAGGTCTGAGGTCCCCACTAGATTACAAATCTCATTAAAGCAAGGACACTGTCAATCTTGTTCTCGCTGTATCTTCAGGGCTTAGCACATGGGAGGAATTCAATAAATATTTAGGGAAAGAACTGGTCAACAAATGAATGAATCCATTCAGGTCCCCGGATATCCATCAGTGGTGGTTGTGGAAAATCACCTGTGTTTCTTGTCACAGTAATTTCCCACGGAATGTGGCTTATAATGCCCTTAATTCTTTCATCCCATGCACTCACTCAATCTGTCACTTGGTTAACAAGTATTTCTCATGTAGGTATTAAGTGCCTGGTCATCTGCTGAACTCCGAGAACCGAACAGTAGGCAAAGCTGACATTGGTCCATACCCTCCTTGGGTTTACAGATGAGTAGGGAAGACACACACTAAATAAATCGATCACAAGCATGATGGATAAGCATTCTAATGGGGGGAACCGGGATTTAATAAAAATGAATAATAAGAAGGCCCATCCAGGTGAGAAAAGAGAGGCAGACTGACTCACAGTCTTAGTGATGAGTTAATAAACACCTCTGAGAACACATCTGATCCCGCATGCCTCCGTAACGTGTATCACAAACACATCTGAAGGATCTGGCTCTCAACCTTCACAACATAATTAAAAGGAATTCTAATCAGAGAAAGCCTTGGTTCCCGGCATTCTGGTTTGCTAGAAGGTTCTAGGTTTACACTGGCACTATAGTTGGGATACACCTCTCTGCCCGACTTTGACCTTCCATTCATTGCGTTCTACTTACCTTTTAAAACAGCGTCGGCACCCCTATACAGGCAAAAATGGCACTCTATACCTTTTTATTCTAATGTTAAGTTTTAATTTATTTTGTTACTTCAGGGGGCTTAAAATATATTGGTAAACAAATCATTCTATATATTTGGATCCCAGAGTTGTTCAAATGAGGGATGTAATTTTAGATATCTAAGTAAATGGACCTGTTTCAAATAGTATTTACATTGTTTGAACATGTATAGCTTAAGGGAAGGAAAGGCATTAGAAAATAATTTGCATTTATTTTTCTTGCTGTCTGAAATAGCTTTGCAGTCCCTTCCTCCGGTCACTGACAAACATTACTAATCTAAAGGTAATTCCTTTGCCATAGGTAAAAATTAAGAGGAAACCAGTTTAAAAGACCACAGTGGTGACTCTTAACTCTGACTCCCAGAAACCTTTAAGTAGTCTGTAAGGTCCAGCTGAAGATTTTTTCTGAATGGTCCTCATATTTTTGATATTCTCTTCTATTTTAACTGGACCATGAGGGAATCACACAGCAAAACGTTTGCTCCAGAAAACGGGAGTGCACTGAATGCTAGCCTGAGGGAAAGGAAAGGAAAGGAAAAACGTTTGCCGTCATTTCTCTTTCCTTCCTCCTGAAATAGGCCTCGAAAGAGGACGCCCTGCGTGGAGATGAGGAAGCGGAGGTGCAGTCGGCGTGAGTCCAGCGGAGGAAGGGAGAGGAGCTCACGGGTCCTCTGAGCACCGAGCCTGCCCCCCCGTCACCACACTATCCGTGCTGTGGCATCCCGTGGCCACAGGATGAGCCGGGGCTGCGACGCCACCACTCTTCCCTAAAAATACGTGGATCTTCAACCCTTGGAGAGTGATGTGAGCTGTCAGTGAAGGAAGGTAAACATTTGGAGGAATAAAGTACAACAAATAAATAAAGTACAGGGTATCTATCACAGCGTAATAAACAGCAAAGAAGGTGATGAGCCTTCTCTGCACCTTTTTGAGCTTGCTTAAAATTAACAGCCACAGCCGACAATGTACAGCCTTACATGAACACACTTACCCGTATCGGAAGTACGTGCTGAACTCTCTGCAGAGGCGGTGAGCCAGTTCTCGTTTCCCACAGGCTTCAGGACCAGCTAGCACCAACATCGGATAAGGGGCGTCCAGGCAGGGGAGAGTGCTGGAACATAGGGCAGGCAGTGACGGCCGGTCCTAGTCACATACACACCCAGCGGGCAGGGGCTACACCACAGTCACTCCCAAGTCAGGGTCTACACCACAGTCACACCTAAGTTCGTGACTGAGCACATGCTACCTGCAGGCCCAGGACAGGAGGCTGGTCCTCCTTTCCAGAGCAAGGTGATGATGATAGGCCAAAAATAATATTCAAAGTGTAGATAACAAGTCAAGTCCAAATGTATGTAAATTTACTTTAATGACATTTTTAAAAGGAAAAATACGGAAAGATGTATTAGTTCTTGGTTGATAAAGTATTCCCCCAAGAACTTCAAAACGGAAGAAGGAAGAATGCTCTCTGAGAGGTAAGTTTTAACATCCATACCCACTAAATTAGAACACAGATATGCAATGAAAATGGTAATAATTATAAAATTTACCTGAGCAATCACTATGTGCCAGGCACTACTTTAGGAATCTGACGGGCATTACCTCATTTAATTACTACAGGAAGTGGATGAAGATGTTTCTATCATTATCTATCATCACCCCCATTGCATACACAAAGAAACTGAAGTACAGAGAGGTTGATTAACTTGCTCAAAGGAACAGCTAATAGCTAAGAGCTAATATAGGAATCTAGGCATGGCTTCTGGGCCTGAAAGACTGGACTAAGGAGTGAAAACATGCTGGCTGGAGTGTGTGAATTCTGCTCGTGCCACAACTATAGAAATCCAGAATAAAACGTATTTTAAAAATACATGCTAAGGTATAGATTCTATGATGAAGAATGGAGGTGGTGGTGGCATCCACAGAAAAAACAGAAAAAATTAAGAGCAAAAGCCCATGGATAACATGTGTAACAAAACCAGATGAGAAAGTATCTCCATGAACCATAAACCCACAAGGCTTGCCCAGTGCTGGAATCCGTGCAGGGCGGGGGGGCGGTTTGGGGCAGCAAGTGACAGGCCTGAGGACAAGGGAACCCCAGCAGAGTCAAGGGGTATCCACTGGAAAAAGCAAGCAGGCTGAAACTGTACATGAGCAAAAATCTGTACATCAATATCCATAATAGCTGGATTTGTAATAGCCCCCAAACAGAATCAGCTCAGAAGTCTTTCAAGAGATGAATAGTTATCTTATAATGTACTATTTGTTTCAGAGGTACAGGTCTGTGATTCAACAGTCTTACACAATTCACAGCACTCACCATAGCACAAACCCTCCCCATAGCAGGAAGGGAAAAATGAAGGGGGGGAAATCGGAGGGGGAGACAAACGATGAGAGACTACGGACTCTGAGAAACAAACTGAGGGTTCCAGAGGGGAGGGGGGTGAGGGGATGGGTTAGCCTGGTGATGGGTATTCAAGAGGGCACGTACTGAATGGAACACTGGGTGTTATTCGCAAACAATGAATCATGGAACACTACATCAAAAACTAATGATGTAATGTATGGTGATTAACATAACAATAAAATTTAAAAAAAGAGATGAACAGTTAAACTAATCTGGTGCATCCATACAAGGACTACTACTCAGCAAAAAAAGGAATGAATTGTTGGTATATCCAACAACTTGGATGCATCTCCAGGGAATAAGGCTAAGTTAAAAAAAAAAAAGCCAATTCTAAAAGGTTATACACTATATGATGCCATTTGTATAATATTCTTGAAATGACAACACGATAGAGATGGAGACTAGACTACTGGTTGCCAGGGATTAGGGGAGTTGAAGAGGAAAGAAGTGGCTATGGCTCTAAAAGGGAAGTGCAGGGATTCTTGTGACAAAAGTCTTCTGTAGTGGTGCTCATATGATCTATACATGTGACAAAATTGCATAGAACTAAATGCATACACGAGTACATGCAAAGCTGGTCAAATCTGATCAGGTTGGTGGGTTGTATCAATGTCAATTTCCTGGTTTTGATATTCTACTTAGTTAGGCAAGGTATCACCACTGGGGGAAACATCTAGAATTTCTCTGTATTATCTCTTACAACTGCATGTGAATCTAAAATTATCTCAAAGTTATACGCAACTTATGAATCATTGAACACTACGCCCACAACTAATGATGTACTATATGTGGGCTAATTGAATTTAAATAAAAATAAAATAAAAAGTAAAATTATCTGAAAGTAAAATTTTTTAAATGATTAAAGAGAAAAAAATTGAAAGTGACAAATATTGAATATAGGCAAAGGAGATCTTCTTTTTGAAGGAGAAAACCAAAGCAAAGGAACAGAACAAATATTAAAGACTGTAATTCAAGAAAACTTTCCTAAAATAAAAAAGTAAAACTAGGCACTGAAATAGTACACAGCATACCTGAGAGTATTAGCTCAGAATGACTAATATTAAGATATAGTCTAGTAAAATGACTGGACTTAGAAAAAAAAATCATTCAGCTAGAAAAAGAGAACACATGACTTATAAGGGAAAGAAAATTGTCTATCAGATTTTGATAGATGTTTTGCACTCCCCAAAAAAAGAGTAACATCCTTTATATAGTCAAGGAAAAAAGTTTGAGCCACAGATTTCAAATATAACAAAAATGACTTTCAAGTATAAAGGACAGAGAATATTATCAACATGCAAGAGGTCATGGGATACTGATCCCATAGCCCATCCTAAGGAGTCTACTGGAGAAAAAGCTCCACACACCCAATTAACTCAGGAGACATCAATACAAGGGCTGGTTGGGAGCCATAAATACGCAGTTATGCACAGAACTAAGACCAAATGACAGCAAAGGAGGAAGTACGGTGTGTGATGGATACACGTTCTGACAATATAAATATGGTACACTATTTTTAATGTGGGTGATTGACACATAAAATGTATACAATAGGCAAATTCACAGGGATAGAAAAGATATATGAAGTCTCCAGGGATTGGGAGTAGCAGGCAGTGGGCAGTCACTGCTTAGTTACAGCTTTTGTTTGGGGGCGGGGGGATGGATGAAAAATTTTGGAAACAGGTGGTGGTGATGGTTGCAACAACAGTGTAAATATAATTAATGCCACTCAACTGTACACTCTAAAATGGTTAAAATGGCAAATTTTATGTTATATATACTTTACCACAGTAAAAAATGGGGGGGTGTGGAGAAGAGTATAGGCGAAATAGGATTTTAGTGTTTTCAGTAATCATGTTGGTGGTAGTATTAGCACTGATACTGCTATGTTGCAATAAGGGATTTGAAAAAAGTAATTATGGGATATTCTAAATCCATCTTCCTCTGTGTTTTTAATGTGGGAGGGAGGACACAGATGTAATAGAGAGGAGGATAAGTAAAAGCTCAACCATCGTCTTGAAATTGAAAGTATCAATATGAATTCAGGAGATCTTTTATCATCTACCTATAAATAGATATCGATCACCTAGATATAGACTAGATATAAACAGATTGAATAGATGTAGATAGAGACATATAAATAGATAAACAGGATAGATAGAATAGACCAATGGGTGGTTGGATATATGGGTGGGTGGGTGGGTGGGTGGAAAGAAGGAAGGAAGGAAGGAAGGAAGGAAGGAAGGAAGGAAGGAAGGAAGGAAGGAAAGGAAATACATACCTAGCTCTGTCCACTAAAAATCCTAACAACAATGACCAACTCAGTAGCAAGGATAACCTCTAGCACCCAGATTGTGACTGGGAACTACCATTTCTCACTAAAACAAACCAGGGCTTCTTGGAGAAGTGGTTGATTCCAGAGTTTGGACAGGGCTTGTAGAAGATGAACCTGGAGGACCTTGTCATACAGGAGAGCAAGAAAGCTATCCATGATTACCAGGCCAGAGTCAAGATTCTGCCATGTAATTTTAGTACTTTATCCTCACCCTAGTTACAGGGTGTTCGCCAATATGCAGCATAAGAGTGCCAAGGTCAAGAGTTAGGGTTCCCTACTGGCCCAGCTTGGGAAGGGCAATGGTAGGCTTGCCCCTATCTCTGTGAGCTTCTCACAACGAACACTGCTCCATTCTGGAGCATCTGGGGCTGGTTGGCCACTTTGCTCTCGTCTACTCGATAGCTGCAAATGATGATGAAATACGTGTTTTTCAGACAGTGCTATAAATTTCTTTGATACATATTTTTATATAAATGTACCCTAAAGCATGAAACAAGTAGCAATCTCATAAATTAGGAAAGAAATACAATGAGGATATAAATGCCCTTCTTTTAAATCAAATGTGCTTTTCTAGATGTATGCAAATAAATGATAAATCATTCCACCTAGAGGGTGACCATAAATATATAAAACTGTCAATGTCTGTATTATTAAATTACATGTAAAAAATCATGTCCTGGATGCAAAATAAAACATTGTGTTCTCTGTGGGGAACCAACCATGTGAACTACAGAAGCAAACACCACATAAAGAAGGGAAGCCATTTATAACGAAGAGATTTTACAAGTATTTTTTAAATGCCTTTGGGTATTGATAGAATTTCTGCAATATACTTATAGCATAAAAGGCCATCTGCTCCAACAGATTGTTTAAAAAGAAATGGAGAAACTGTGGTAAATCTGTCTTTGAACTTAGAGGTGAGAGACTCGGTTCATGTGTTCAACTAAGCTGGGTGACTCACGGGCTCAGTGCAATCAGTTTAAAGACTATTTCAGGTTTCCCTTGGGCTAGCTGGGCTTCCTTCTATGGACTCTCTCATAAGCTGCATTCATGCTCTTTGGCAGGGCTATCGAGCATTTACTCACAGCTAATGAAAAATTTACAGTGGACAGAAATCATCATAATTCTTTGTTAATGAGGCAAAGGTCTATGGCTCTATCCTACAGCAGGAAAGTTGACACATTTTTAAACATTGTGTTTCACTGTCCTATGTCAGAGGCTAGTCACCATTCAAGGGGCTGGATGGAAAAGGGAAGATGAGTCCACTCATCTCCACACGTGGGAAACCACCAATGAATAAACCCCACACTCAAGCATGTGATGATAATCGCTAAAACTGAGACAGCCAAATAAAGACAAATAAAGACAAAACAGTGCTAGGCAGACGATGAGGGTTGTCCTGTGCTCGCCACCCTGAGTTCTACCCTGGGGATCCCTCACAAATACCTGTCAAAGATCCTCTGCGGCTGCATCACACTGTTGACAACATGGGTCAGGTGATCTTGGGCTGCGACCACTTCTGGGGGAGGGTCGTATCTATTCACGGCAGCAACCTTTGCCAGAATTAGAAATGCAAGAGGAAAACACGTTTCATTTCTTAAAAGAAGACAAGTCTTAGATTTTTCTTGAGTGAACATTCTAAACAGGCAACCAGGTACAGAAAATAATTTAATGCATGCTCATGGACCTTTGTGCTCAGTCTTTGTGTCTACTCTCACTTTCCTAAAACCTAAATAAGGATGATTATCTTAAAATATGGAGCTGGAGTCCCTGGGTCCCCTACCTCTTTATGCTCCCAGGTTTGGAAGAGAAGAAGCAAACACAAAACCTCTAAAGCCCAAGATTACTTTTAATATAGTAAACATTCCCACTTTTGAGTATGAGAGGAAGGAATAAAATACATAGTTCTAGATTCCAGGTCATTGATACCACAGGGATGTGTTCCTCATGCCATCTCACCAGGAGCGATTCCAATGATCTCAAATTCTATCCAAACCTCCACCTCTTTCAGCAGAGCTCCCTGTGTTCAAAGATAGGGATCTTTCCCTCGTGACGTAGCCTTCTCTATCCATGTGTCCTTGTCACCCCCTACACACATGATCTTCGTGAACCCCACCTTTACTTAATGAAGGCTTTTGAATTGCATTCCCTTCACAAAACATTAAAGAGAAAAAGAAATGTAGCAAGTGCCTCTGAGTTTGAGAATAACAACGCACTAACATCTGTAACTATTTTTAACAGCGATTTCCAAAACGCATGTATGAAATGGAATACCTGCCCCTCTACATACTTATATCTGCTTTCATGCTCATCTCAAATCGGCATTTAGTGTAAGAAATCCCTCGTTAGTGGAGATTTCAGCTGTCCCCAGTCACTAAAGCAAGACAAAGTAGCACCCCTGGCATGGTGGCGGGGAGGCACGTGCTAGTGTGTCAGGTCCGGTTACTCTGGAACCGTGTGTCCAGGAGGATCATGATTTTATTTTTTATTATTTTTTAAAAGATTATTTATTTATTTATTTGACAGAGAGAGAGAGAGAGATAGCGAGAGCAGGAACACAAGCCGGGAGAGTGGGAGAAGGAGAAGCAGGCTTCCCGCTGAGCGGGGAGCCCGATGCGGGGCTCGATCCCAGAACCCTGGGATCATGACCTGAGCCGAAGGCAGACGCTTAACGACTGAGCCACCCAGGTGCCCCGGGGATCATGACTTTTAAAGAGCAGAATTGAGGGCTTAAAATACCAGGAGAGTGATTTGAGTACCTTTGATTGTAAATGTAGAGTGACATAATAATAAATTTCATTATTAAATGAATGTTTGGAGCAACACAGTGAGAATCACACACCCTCAATTATGGTAGTTATCCAAGTTAATAGACTGCCATCCCGCTGCTGCCTGGACCCATGGAGCGCGGCTTCCATCCCCACTGCCGGCCTGTTGACTGTGCGAGAGCAGCATCTTCGCTGCATCCGTGCTGATGCTCAGCTTTGCAGGGGGTTAAACCACAGAGTAAGGAAGCACTCCCTAAGTAAGTAGTTAATTCCCATATTATCACGTGTGCCATTTATTGATTACGTCCGTCCCGCAGCAGACAGCAAAGCCCTTGAGCACATTAACTCACAAACACATGGAATAATATGATTACATACCTTTTCTTCCACTTTAATTTTCTTCTGATCTAATTCTGTTAGTCGTAGGAGCGTAAAAATCACGAAGAACCAATATTCAGATTTTTCCTATTTAAAATATCAAGAGGAATATTCAATTGCCTTCATGACCAAGCACTAGCATGCTACTCTCACACGTAGGTGTTTCAGCTTCTACCCTATCCACACACACACACCCTCAAGGTGTCTGCAGTTTCACGCTTAGCAGTCCCCTCATATTAACTCACACGCAGACTGTGCCTTGTAGCTTACAAAGCTCTTCAAACGTGTCATCTTGTTAATCTCTCTGTGACACAGCAGGATGAGTATGATCATCTTCATTTCTAAAGAGAAACTAACTAAGCCTCAGAGTCGTGAAGCATTTCACCTAAGATTCCATGGCCAGTGATTCAAATCCTTTTTCTTCTAACTCCAAAGAGTTTCATTATTGCAAATAATGAACATTATTTATGACTAGTTTGTCATTTGTTTATTTTGTATTCGTTTGAATTAATTTGTACCATTGTGAATTTATTTTACAATAATAAATAATATTCATTTATAGAACAAATTCCTTATTACTCCCAACCATCTGCTATGTTAGGATTATCTGGCTTTTAGAAATATAATTAAAGTTTTGTATTAAGAAGCGACATCTTTGAAGAGAAAGGTATTAGTGGGTGATGCATTTCATAGATAAGAGTGCACATGAAATGAATATACAAAGGTATCTTTTTTGTCCTGTGATGTGTGAGTTGGGGGGCGCTGTGTATATAAGTGAGTTAATGTGTGTGATAGGGTTTGTGGTTATTTATGCGCATGCACAAACACTCCCCATGGCTCTAAAAGAGGGGGCGGTGTTCATGGTTGCTTTGTAAGCCCTGCTCCTTTCTTACCAGAGATGCTTTTAAGTTGCCGGCCACTATTTCCATACCAAGGATTGGATTTATTTTTTAATCTTGTTTTTCATTTTTGCTTTTGCTTTTTTTTTCTTTTTGCTCGTCCAGACATGTTCATCAAGTTACACACACACAAAAAGGTACTCAGAGATATATTTAAATTCAAGAATCTCTGGAAAAGGAAGGGAAGGGTATAGGTAGCAAAGTGGAATGAAGGACAAATGGAAAAAGAGGGAGGGAGAGAAGCCAGGAGAGAGGATCTATCAATGGTAGGAAAGAGAGAGGCTTGAAAAACAGTGGATTTTTTAGTATCAGAGGCGAAGAATCCATAGGAAATGGAGGATTTCTTTCTATAATTGTTTTTACAACACCACCCATTTCCCAACTATATCCAGACAGATTACTATAGGTATCTGATCCTAGACTTTCTTTCCCGTTATACGACATGAACCAGAGTCTGTCCACACCTCCACCATGGCACCTTCTCTAACGTAAAAGGACATGGCTCCAGTCTCAGTAGCTGTGTCACGTGCTCTTTATTACCAGCGGGGATGAGTCACACATGACCACCCGGGGCAGGGAACTCCGGGCTCCACTCTCACTGACAGCGTGAATAGCTGCTCCTTGGCCTAAACCTCCTCAATGGCCAGACCTCCCTTAGAGATCGAGAATGAAGGTAAATACAGTGCATGCACAGCCCTGATGCTCTTTATCAAAAGCATTCCTTGAAGAATTCCAAGAAGGTCCTCACCCCCTCTCTGCACATAAATCTCTCTCACCTGAATTGGGTTTCTTAGAAAATTGAGAACCCGGAGGAGAGGTAGATTTTCAATGTATTCCATTTCACCCAGCTCAGCAATCTGTTTAATCAAAGAAACAAAGTATTATCAATAGATTAACTGTACAACCAATAATATAAAGTACTGTAAGAGGAGCTGGTATGGATCCTCTAACTTCATCTTATTTTAGAAACTGCTCTGTTGCATATCTAGCCTTCTCATGAGTACTCCAAATGCAGAACAAGGGAATTACTGCACGCTCCTTCACTCAATGTGAACACACATAGCCACATTTTCTTTTTTTCTTCTCTGGCTAAAAAACAGTTCTCTGAACTATTCCCCATCTCAGCCATATTTATTTTAATTAATAAATATTTTATTCTTTATTAATAAATATTTATTTTAAGGCAGAAATAACTTAGCATGCAGAATCAGAGAAATAGGACAAAAAAAATGCAGGTGGGGGCTCCCTGGTTCTCTCTCCTCAACCCTAAGCCTTCCTAGCTCTCCTGTTCCCCAGTCTGCCTCCCCAGGGCTGCCTCTGCTAGCCTGGCTACTTGTGACCGATGAAGACTTCTTACTACACGTGCATGTGTACACTCTTTTGTTTTTTTAATAAAAGATAATTAGTTTAAGGAAAGATAAAAACAGAAATGATACAACACATTTCTTGACACGGGCGTTCACCTTAAAATTTTTTGTTTAAACTGCATGCTTATGTTTTATACTCTTTTCTGTGTAGGTTATGTGTCACAACTTTAAAAAATGAGGGGAAAAAAGGCTGCTTGACAGTTCCTTAATTTGACCAAGGAGAGAGCTTGGGTTGCAGAATGCCTGGATTTCCCACTAAAGACAAACAGTTTTACTTAAATTTCCTGTAGTTAGCATAATTATAATTTTATTTAAGATGTGGATATTAAACTTCTGCAAAAAAATTAATAAGCACTTCTTCATTTCTGTTTCTCCCCAAGTCATTTCTGTGTGCATTGTGAAAGCTCTCCAAAGGTAGTCACCGATAATTTCTGAGTTATCCAAACACAAAATGCAGCTAAAATTAAACTACTCCCAGCGTTAAATCAGGGGAAGAACACATGCACCATATTCAAGGGATGCCATTTTCAAAGACATAATATAAAAGGTAAATTCTGAGTCACCGCAAAGAACCTGGCATTAGTTCTATATGCTTATTAATAAGCATTAATCTGCTTATAGCAATGCTATGCTATCAGACACAGCTCTTTCAACACAATGACTAGATCCATTAGAGTGGCATTTCGATCCTCTGCAAGATAAAAAGATCATTTTTTTAAATATTGTGTGATTCAGGATGGTGGAAAAGTCAACTCGGTTCACACTGCTTGGTCAGAGCCATGGATTGGTTTTCCTCTAGCATACAGCTCCTGTGCTTGGACCCGACACAAATGTAAGCAGGGGATGTCTTCCTGTGGTGAACATGTCTCACCACCAGGTCCTGGCCACGTGCATGCACTGGCACGCACTGCTGGTGAGGGTGGAAACTGGCATGTTTTTCCTAAGGGGCAAGCTGATATGTTATGTGTGCATAAGCTATGAACCAGCTTCCCCACCCTCAAGAGGTTTACACTGAAGAGATCATCAGACTGGCAAACATTAGATAAAGAATGTCTGGGCTAACATTTTTAGTAAAAGTTTAAAAATTCCTAGATTCTGAAAAAAAACCATCATTATGTGATGAGTTTAATGAGTCACACAGTACAGTCCCATGATAGGAACACTATGCACTTACTTTAGAAGATGGAGACATCTCTGGTAACTGACATGGAAAGATCTTGAAATGTTACAAACAACATGAATAGCATGATCACGGACTACAAAAAATTATAACTAAAATGTCAGCTGGGATCACCGGGTCTTTTAAGAGTCACATGAGAGGGATCCAGCTCCCTTTCCCCCCTAATCCTTCCAAAGGTAGGAAGAGGCTGTTAAGGGCAGAGCTAAGCAAGTATGGGCTAGCCCGGCTTCAAGATCCCACATCTGCTGAATTAGCCACATTCCACAGAGACTGTCTGTCCTGCATCGGCCCCCTCTCCCTCTCCTGAAGACCTCAACCCACAGCAGACCCACCCGCATGTCTTCTCAAATGCCAAACCCAAGGCTGTGTGCATCACAGATCATTCATTACAGTGGATGTAGGGGTACAGCACCCCGAATGACTTAGAGTAAAACACTGCCAGAAAGGTTCTATTCTTAAAGGAACATCAGCTAAGAATGTCACACCAGCACAGCTGATCCCCAGATTCCGTGTGCCCCTCTTTGCAAACCTCCTCTGCCCCTGTGGGTTACTCCCAACCCCTAGCAGCCTGTCAACTTCGAATTCCTAGGCAGAGCAGTTTAGTTGACTCTCATTTTGCCATTTCCTCGTAGGCTATGCTCTCCAAGCCCCAGGATCCACACCTAAAGCGGCCTGTGAAAACTTTTTCTTTGATTGATTGATTGATTGGCTGATTGATTTATGAAATAATGACACTAAAAGAAGGAAAAGCATTCTCTAAGTAACTCCCCAACCAATGTCATGTTTCTAGAAGAAAGGACTGAAGTTATAACAGAGTTAACATTTGGGGGATAAGTTTTATGACATCCACTCTAACAAGGACTCTAGAGAGTGATAAGGGCCCCCAAATCACCAGCTGATGGGAAACATTTGCAAAGGAACTTAAAAGAGATGTTGAAATGATCGTGTGAGGGTACAGCAATGTGTCAGCAGCTAAAACCAAGTAAATAATACTGATGAAAGTGCAAATGATAAAATATCAAATTAACCATATGAGGAGCAGCAGCTAAGTTATGTTTCTGTTAAATGACAAATTTTCCATACCTGACATGGTATTCTCAGTAGTACTGGGGAAATCTCTGAGGAAATCTTTGGAAGGCACAAAGAACATTTCAAAGTACTGTTGGTTGCTCCCCAACCTGCCCAGGGGGTAGCCAGGGAATTACGTTATTGTTATGGACTCAATTGTTCCCAAAGGATTCCCTGCTTTGGGACACATGGCCACTTTTTCTTTAATGGAGTCTCTTGAACATTTGAAAACTATAAACTCCTTTACTCACTTAATGATACCCCTCTTTTTTTCTTAAATGTTTTCAAATGTAACTTGAAACGTCTCTTGAAATGGAAGAGAACGATATATTTATTCATGAGCAGCACTTTCTAGAGCAACACTATCCAATATGGTAGTTACTAGCCACATGTGGCTACTTAACACTTGGAATAGGGCTAGGATGAACTGAAATGTGTGTAAGTATAAAATACATACCAGATGTCAAAAACTTAGTATGGGCAAGAGGTTATAAAGTGCCTCATCAATGATTTTTCTATAGATTACATGTTGACATGATGATATTTTGGATGTACTGGGCTAAATAAAATATATTATTACAGTTACTTATCCTTGTTTGTTTTTACTTTTTTATTGTGCCTACTAGAAAACTTAAAATTGCATATATGGTTCACATTTATGGCTTGCATTATATTTCTATCAGAAAGCACTCTTGTAGAGCATTACACTCTACGCTTTTCTGAAGGATAATTACTGTATTATCCTTCAGTGTTGAGAACACGGAGTCTGGAGGCAAACCATTCTATATTTGCATCCTGACTCTGCTATTTGCTAGACGTAGAACTTTGGGCATGTTACACTTAACCTCTCTGTGCCCCAGTTTCTTCATCTATAAAATATGGCAATAGTAGGGTTATAATGAGGATCAAATGAGATGATAGATGTGAAGTGCTTAGAACAGTGCTTTGTGTACGGCTACTCAACAAATATCTCTAGATGATCTTATGACTGTAATTATTACTATTATTACCATTAACCATTATTCCTTTTCCTGAATTCTGAGATGCATTCAGTTGGGACTCAATGGATGCATTCCATACCTTTTCAACACTCCCTGGATATACGTGAGGACCATTTTCATGGCAATTTCATGAAAAGACACTAAAAGAAACAGAGACTGTGCTGACTTCATAAGACACGTGGCACAGGGAACAAAAGTTAAATGAACTTAGGAGCTGACAAAACAATTTAATATACAAATCAAGTAAAAATAAGGATGAACAGTTTTGTCTGTGATTAAAAATCTACTTTTCCCCAGACCTAAAGATGGCCTTTTCTTGATGTTTAGATAAATAGGTGATGCAAGTTCACTGGAGAAAGAGTCATCAGACATAACTGATAAGCACCATCACACCTGAACAGAGAAATGTCTCCACAGCATCACATTTCACCCCAGGTAAGACCAATGTCTCTTTCAGGGCCAGCCAAGTTTGCATTTTCAAGAAGAAATAAACAGTCAACTTCCTTATGAGTCTTTCCAAAAAATGTGATAAAGTACTCAGTAAGAATACAATTGTTTTATAGACATTATTGCTTAAGTAGTCAGATATACCGTGATTATGAGTACAAATGCTTCATTGAAAATAAAGTATAATTAAGAGTGGACACCAATTTATATAGTTTATGAAACAAAGTGTGTATTAAACCAGATATAGAAAATTTGAGTCAGTCCAATCCCCAACTCCTACAGATTAGGAACATACACTATTGTTACCAATAGAATATAGGAATTCACTCCCTGAGCCTGTTCTCCTTAAATGATAGGCACAGGCAACACCAGCCTGAGGCTCTTCTCATGTCTCCCATTTCCCTGCTCTGACATTTCAGACACTCCCAAGGTCACCTTTCTACACAAAATTTTACATGAATACATCTACTTCAGAAAGTCATGTCCACTTGGTTGCAATTTAAACCCTTAAAACAATGTAATTAGGAATAATCAGATTTCCAAAAATTAAGAATTGTATTAATTACAAACAAACAAAACAGTCCTTCTGCAATGACTGCTCCTGGAAATTTTCTAGAATAATGTTTCTAAGCTGGCATTTCAAGTGACAGCCCTTGAGAAACCAATAATGGGACTTGGTACGTCCTCTTACACAGACACTGAAACCAGGACAGGTGACGTGTGACGTTACCTTATTATCCTCCAGGTTGATGACTTCCAAGAGGTCATGGTTCTCTAAGCCCTGGAGGCTGCTGATCTGATTATGGGACAGATCCAAAATCTGCAAGGCTTTTAGGTCCTCCAAACCCGTGATCTTCTCAATCTGGTTATTGCTCTACAATTGGTAAAATACAACCAATGTCTTAAAAGCTTCTAGTAGGAAAAAGTGTAAGGCCAAGTTTTCATTCTGCATTCTGCCCCAATCTCCTAAAATCAGCAAGCCATTCTTGTTGCCCTGCACCCTCCCATTTCCACCAATCACCTTGATAAACATATATACATACACCCCAGAAAGAACTCCCAGTTCTTCAGCTGGAAGATTCAGAATGTCATATTTTCACTAAAGTTCTTGCGAGATGAATGTTCGAATCAGTACGACAGACAGAAGCTAGGTAGTGTAAGCTTTTAACATTATTTACCTAAAGCCTAATAATAGCATACCTCCGGGTTCATCTTCAGAAACAATATTTAAAATTGCAATTCTTTCAGCGCCATCATGTTATACCACGTGTGATTATTAAAAGTATAGTGTGATTCCCACATATACTTGGTTTTCACGAACATTCTAAATATAATCACTTCATATCACAAGGGTCGTGGTAGTCTGATCCATGGCTTGAGTTATTTATGCTCTTGAGCAGGTCCCTCCTCTTGAATCTAGGCTGGACCTATGACTTGCCTTAAGAAAAGAATATGGCAGAAGTGTGCCAGTTCCAAGTCTAAGAATTGAGAAGGCCTGGCAGCTTCCCTTCTTGTGTCCTGGAGCCCTGAGCTGCCATGTAAGGACTCTAGCTACTCTGTTGGGAGAGGATTTGTGGAGAGGTCACATGGAGAAGAAGAGGTCACATGGAGAGGGGCCCTGACACTAAAGAGAGAGAGGAAAAAATCCAGCCATTTCAGCATCCCCGCTGAGCGCACCCCCAGCCAATCTGCCAGCTGAATGAGGCAAGAGCAGCAGAAGAACCACCCTGCTGAACCCAGCTCAGATTGCAGAACGGCTAGCCAAAAAAATGGTTAGTGAATAATACTTCTCTGTGCACCACACTTGGGGTGGCTTGTTATTCAACAATAGATAACTGAGTTCTTCAATAATTCACACATAAGCATCTTCTCAGACAATAAGCATAAAACAAAGATTCAGAGATCCTCTTTCCCAACCCCCATGGACACATAATAACAAATTATAGTGGCAACAATAACCTGCATTTTCTTGTGAATTTTCCAACATACAATTCCTTGGGTTTCTTAGCCTTGAAGTGCAAGAACATGCCACAATAAAATTACACTTTTAGTTTAAGTTGGGAATCATAAAGACAATTTTGAGGTTTCAATTAATGACATAAAATGCCCATTTTTAAACTTTTAATACTTTTAATAAGCACTTAACTGAAAAATTAAATTATAGCATGCTCTCCATCTACAATATTTTTCCTGATATATGTTTCCTGGTACATTTTAATAGCAAGAGCTCATTTTCATCCTATCTTTCATAAGATTTCACTTCAATAATGAGCAAGATTTGCAGTCATTAGTTTAATTCTGTGGCCTTTAAAAATACATTAATAGAATGTTGATAATCTACAAAGCTGGGTGATAATACATGGGGGCTCATTAAACTATTCCCTTTTTAAAAATATATGTTTGAACAATTCCATAATCAGAAGGGAAAAATACTCATAACCCCCATTTGCCAAAGTCAAATTTCCTACTATTCAGAGTCCAAAAAAGTTCTAAAAAGTGTAATAGAAAAGTAAAAGAAAAAACTGCACTAAAGTTAACATAATAGCCCTACTAATTTAACTTATTGAAATAAGACCTCAATATCCTATTTAAAATATGCCCACATATAAAATTTATATACATTTCTTCCCAAAGGACTCTGAAGCGCTAGAACTATGGAAGATAGACTGTAATAAATCTTTACAGCATCTCTGATGGCTTTCGAAGTGGTAGATGCCTAAGAGTAGAGTGAGGCATAAAAACGTTTAATTAGCTAGCCTATGGTCATAAAGGAAAGCAGAGCAGTGAAATATTCAGAATCACATAATTTCTGAGTTGAAAGTCATCTAGTCAAACCCTTTATCCAATGCTGAAACACGGATACATTGCCCCTCAAAGTGGACATCCAGTTTCAGCAAGAACGGTTCTGCTTTTCTTTTTTGTAAAATTGTGATCAACAGGGAAAAGGGGGCCTTTAGAGAGAAGCTATTTTCTTAAACAGATGAAATGAGAAATATTCTTCATCTCCCCAGTTTGGAAAGGAAGAAATAAATGGCTCTTACTAAGACAAAATGAATTTTACAGTGTGGAATGCATTGTCCTTACTTGTTCAAAGAAGTGGTTGACAGAATAGCCCATGAGTAAACCACATTACCCCCTTAACATTTATTGTAAAAGCTGATGGTAGAGAATTAACTGGTTTGCATAGCAAATTATTCTCTTTTCTCTAAAAAAAATGTAAAATGAATTATTTGCAGTAGTAAAGCAGTTGGTTTTCTAATTCCACAAACTAAAACATAAAAGCATTAACTATTGAAACAAATGTGTATCATTTTATCTTCTATATTTCATTAACATTTGTGAAAGAAACCGTTACTATTCTCAAAAATTTTAAGGGGAAATGAATGATGGCATGGTCCGTATTTTCTGATTCATCTTGGGTGATGGGGGCAGGGACTGGGAATAATCCCCCTAATTTATTTGTAGAAAAAATAAGACTTTTATGCTTTTTCTAAAAGCTGCTTGAGGTGGAACTGTCAACATGGATTGTTTAGTTATCGAAACAAACTCTTGTTTAAAGTGCTATGTGTTAATCTTCTTAATCATGAGTTCAGTTCTCCTCCCTCTAAGCACACCCCCCATCTCTTTCCACATACCATGCTCCACTTAAAGTTAAAGGGAGCACCAATACAAAGAGATGTAAAGAAAAGGATAAGGTTCTAGCAAGGTACCAACTGAGTAGTACATATTGCCAGCACTCCTTTAAATTATCATAATTTTTTGAATGTGACTTTCTTTTATAATTTTTAAATTTGTCCACCAACTTTACAAATTCATTTTCTTTTACGCTTTGCTAACATGCCCCGGTGTGCAGGAAACATGAAATCTTAAGGACATTATTAGACCTCTCCATGCCCACGGTCTGTCCTTGGTACTGGAACCAGTACTTTGCCCTCACCTAACTTGCTGTAAGGAGGGGAGTCTCTTGAAAAACCACTTCAAGCTCTAAGCTCAGGGAAAGAAAAATTAACACTAGCCAACTTTCCACTATCTGTCGTTAAATAAGACAGGAATAGTATATTATGTCAAAAATCTGCAGATAACCCCAAGATGTCATTTCAAATAGCAGTTCAACACTCTCCTATTGGATGGTTCACATAAGAAATTAATAAGCTACCAGCCTCATGGCTTAAAATCCTCCCTGCCCACCTTGTGACAGATATAATAAAAAATAGCAAAGCCATCCAAGGGCAAGACATAGGAGAGAGGAGGAAAGGAAGAAGAATCCTGAATAATCTACAAACTGTATTATCAACTTTTAAATTAGTGAGCTATACTGTTATTTCAAAAACACTGTGTATCTCTTTGGAACTATTATAATTCTGACTTTTTAATAAACTATCTGCATGTTTATTCATAGTCACAGCACACATCATAGAGCTTAAGAAAAGTTCTCTCTATGGGAAAAAAATTTAAAAACTTCAAGTTTCTGATTGGAATTGTTCCTTTATTCTCAGCATCAATTCTGGTTTTCTAGAATGGGAAACTAGCATATATTAATATAAAAGGGCTGCCAAAGTTCAGGCCCAGAGAACATCTTATGGTTCATTTGAGAACAATAAAGGGTAAACAGCAGTAAATATTATGCTTAAATGTTATTTCATCAGTGAGACATTATGAAATGTATTTTTCATAGTTGTTAAAAGTATTCCTTTCTTTCTCAGGGTTGCCTTCCTCTGCCCCTTTACAGCAGAGGCACACTTTGGGGCAGCAGGATAAATTAGACAAAGACTCTGGAAGAATCGTAGGAAGAGGGGCACCTGGGTGGCTCAGTCATTAAGTGTCTGCCTTCGGCTCAGGTCATGATCCCAGGGTCCAGGGATCGAGCCCCGCATTGGGCTCCCTGCTCAGTGGGGAGACTGCTTCTCCCTCTCCCTCTGCCTGCTGCTCCCCCTGCTTGTGCTTTTGCTCTCTGTCAAATAAACAAATCAAATCTTAAAAAATGAAAAAAAAAAAAAAAGAGTAACTTTTGGTTAGACTCACCAGACAAAGGATTTTGATTGGCAGCATGCCTAAGCCGTTAATTGACGTGATCTTGTTCTTGGCCAGACTCAGGTATGTTAGGCCACTACACAGCTCTAGCCCACTGATCTCCTCTATCTCGTTGCCTATGCACCATGACTATGTTTAAGGAAAATGATATGAGAAACATTTTGAAGAGGGGCGCCCAGGTGGCTCAGTCGGTTAAGCGTCCGACTCTTGATTTCTGCTCAGATCATGATCTCAGAATTACGATATTGAGCCCCACTTCAGGCTCCACACTCAGCACCGTGTCTGCTTATCCCTCTCCCTCCACCCCCTGCTTATGCACACACACACTCTCTCTCTCAAATAAATAAAATCTTTAACAAAAATTTTTTTTGAAGAAAAAAATAGTGTCAGATCATCATTAGAAAAATGAGACAACGGCATTAATAAAGCACTAATACATGCCCAATACAGGATGAACACTAAATCTTGAAATATATTTTTTTCATTATAGAAGTTAATACTGGCACTGCTTAAATTTTTTTTAAAGACATAGCTTTTGAGTATGCTCAGTTGCACTTTGCATTCATATGTGACTCATTTAATCAGTGAGGAAAAACATTTCAGGGTGCTTTGGAAGCTGCCTCCTTGGCAGTGTTTTTCCTTGGTTCCTTAAGGGTCTTCACAAGAAACTCATAAGCTTTCCCACAGGTGAGACTTCCCAATACAGGGTCACCCGTGCAAGCAACATGCACCAAGCTTTATTACCCTCAGAACCAGGGGAACAGCCAGGGAGATGTCACCTGTGGCAGATAAGTGGTAAAGAACCAATACCCTGATATAGAGAGGAACAGCCTTTTCGGTCTATATTGGTTTCTCTTCTCCCTTTAAAATAAATGAGGCCTAAACTCCATCTTCATTTCCTCATGTTGAGTTTCTAGTCATTTTAAAATTTAAATTTCTTCTGTGTTCCATCCTTACAGTCACCTAAAACTGCAGTCCCAACATCACCAATTCTATTCTCCTCTCTCTGGTCTCAATTTCTTTGGCAAATTTTGGGGATTTAATAACATTTGCCCACCACAGTTCAGTTTTCCCTCCCAAGTATTGCTTGAAGACATCATGGTTCTCTCAGCCACTTGTAGTCTTCAGGGCATCCAATCAATCAGCAAGAGTTGGCATTTTTTGCTTTAAAACATCTCTTTAATTATTCCCTTCCTTCCCGTTCACTCCACTGCCAACTTAATTCAGCTTTAGCACTGATGGGTACCTCTAATAACCATTTCTTCCTGCCTCAAATCACCTGACACACTGTAGTCAGGTTAATTTTTTTCAAAATATTGATTGGATATCATGTTTCAATCAAAAAAGTCTCACAGGACAAATTCCAAATTTCTCACTCTGGCATCTGAAGCCCCTGACTTTAAGCAAAGCCTATTTCTCCTGTTTCATCTCCATTATAACCCAGTGAGAATTCCCTAATTCTGCCAGGTCAGTCTTCTCACCAGTTCTGGAACATACCAAGAACTTTCTTACTTAGCAGTGTGTCTTGTTTTCATGTTGCTTTCCTACCCTTCCTAAACCCTGCCTATTCCTCAGGACTCAATTTCAAATTCCATTTCTTTTCTTTAACATTTACATTAAATCAGCTTAATTATTTCTTTTTTGAAAAATAGCCTCATATTCTTATTTCTGTTGCTCTTAATTACTTAAGTACGTACAAATGATAGGCTGGGAGAACATATTTGCAACAAATAGTAGATGAAGGATTACTATCTAGAATAAAGAATGACAATAACTTAATAGAAAGAAAGAATAAAGACCAAACCACCCAATAGAAAATGAGAAAGAATATAGGGAGAAAATTCCCAAAAGAGCAAATCCAAGTAGCTAATAAACATATTTAAAGACTCTGCTTCACCCTTAATCAGGAGAATGCAAATCAAGATGCCATTCTTCACCTATCAGTTTAGCAAGCATTTTAAAGGTTCTGCAGAACACGTTGTTTCCTATGACTAGGGCTTCATTATGTTGGAGCCAATTTGGAAGCAACTTGCCATGCTGTAGTTGTAAATTTGTCACAGCAACTTCAATTCTTGATACTTACTCTGGACAGACCATTTCTTCCCCGGAGCCTTTTCTGGTCAACTTCCAGCCCCCCACCTATCTCCTTCCATTAATCATAGAATCAAAGAATTTTTAAAAGGGGATGGAAGGGATCATTAAGGATCACAAAAAATTGGTATTTTGCCTCATAATTCTTTGTAGTTCTAACTCCACGAGTTACTCATTATGTGACTTAACTTCTCTCTGTTCAGATTTTTCACTGGTAAAGTGGGAATAACAAACAACAGGTTGTCATGAAAATTGAAAGTCTGATCATGGAAAAAGGCTTCGGAATGAGGTTCACAAGCCATAAAGTTCCTCGCAATTATAAGGCAGTTATCATTAACACATTACAAGCACGTGAGGTCAAGGAATCACAACCTCTACCCGTTGGCCAACAGCACAAAATGGAAGATTGAAGGCCAGCATCTATTCCGAAAAGATGTAGGCCAGAGAAAGAGGTAAATTAGGAAACTAGAAGCAATGAGGAGAAAATGTTGCCAAATGAACCAGACACTCCTAATTTTTCTTCATTGGTTCCAGATGTGACCCTTGGGCTGAAGCATAGTTTCACTGGTCATCAAATATGCATTTTCAAATGTACTTTCATAAAGCTTCCTGCCAGAAGAGCTTTACAAAGAAACATTTAGGTTCACAAACGCCACACTCTTTCTGCTTCCGTTTCCTCTGGGCTGTTTAAATAATCATTCTCGAACGAGAACGAAGACAAGATCTTTGCAGATACGGATTGTAACAAGGGATGTGAAATGTGGGAAACAGAGATTAAATTTTCACAGAGCTATAGATGAAATGAAATGTCCTTGGAGTGGCAATCTTTGGCAAGAAAAATTAGGCAAGGAAAACTTCAAATGGCCATCTGTCTCAAGTTAGCAGAGGATGCAATAATCTTTAAGTCCTATGTTGGGGCATTAATGTCCTGAGAGGTCTGCTCCAACCGAAATGAAGATACTCTACAGGGAAGAGTAAAACAAATGCTTGTGGGCCCTGAGTCAGGAAGCCCTCGCATGGGAAGGGGGCAAGGATCAGAAAACGAGGAAATAGGAATCCTGAAACTATCAAGAGCTAGTGGGAAGTGAAAAGGCAAGCTTGTTTATCGTGTATGCAGTAATTTTCCAAGACATCCAAGGCTAACCCCAGTTCTCTCGGTACATCTGGCTCACTCTCCTGCTTTGACTAATACGGCAAGTCAGGTTTCATGAAATCAGCCTCGCAAGAGCCCAAAGGAAGAGGAATACAGATGGCTCACTGCAATGGTAGTCCTGGCTTCTGCAGCTACCTCTGCAGTCTCTCACAGCACTGGGGGCAAAGGCTTGAGGAACGGACTGCACATCTCGGCTGAGATATAAGTTCATTTCAGAAAAACTGTTTATTTACCAACTCTTCACTCCTCCTTAAATTTTGAGGGATTTCAATCATTATAAATTAATCAGGTTCTTGAGTGAAGAGTACTTTTTACAGTGGCCCAACACCTCCCTCCCCCCCCCCCCCCCCCCCCTGGCCACAGCCTCCCTCCATACTCCCAAGGTCATATCATCTGTGACCATGAGTAGTGATAATGGTCAATATGCAGGACTGGTCCATACAGAGCCCGGAGTCCGCAGCTCGCTTTTGGGAAATACCTTTATCTCCCTCATCTCACATTTTCTTATTTTAAGAACCTGCATGAAATGTTCCTTGTCCTTCCTCTGAACGTTATTCTTTTGCATTCTTTCATATAGGTCGTGGGACTTTCCAATAGAAGAAATATAATCTGATAAATCACTAAGCTATTACAGTGAATTAGCTTACTGGGTTAACCCTCTTAGGTACGTTTTAATTTTCAAAATGCGGCTATCAGAAGAAGGAGACAAAGAACTCAAAATCATCATACTGCATTCCAGCTCTAAAGTTTTACATTTCTGTGAATAAATCTTTTACGGTGGAATTTTAGATTCTCAGAAACTGAGTGAAGGAACCCAAAGGCACATAAGCATAACTTTACAGTGAGGGAAAAGCCCCACAACATATTTTTACATTTTGGTGATGCTGTCAGCAGTTTGCAGACCTTGACATGAATTATTCACTAGTTCGGTATTCGCTCTTATTCATTTGTCTACAATCATAAAATATGGTTCGGGTGTATAGAAAACAGTTACTGAGAAATAAGCAGGAAATCCATCACAATTCTCTTAGTAGAGAGAACCGCAATGATAGCTTTAATCAAAACCAATCCTGAAAGATCTATATCACCTTACCAGTGAAAAATGTTCTTCACTATGGGAGTGAATCTCTAAGAAATGAAACACACATACACTTTAAATGGCTAGGTGATAAAAGTAGTAATTACTCAATGAATTGCAGCATGGGGAAAACAATGGAATTTAGAGGACTAATCTCGGTTCAACCACTGACCAAATGATCTTGGACAAGTTACGGAGCCTCCCTGGGTCCTAAGCTCCTCTTCCATAAAAGAACAGTTAGTAGATAATCTCTAAAGTCCAGTCTGGATATTAAAATTCTGTGAATCACTTTTTAAAAACTCCATGATTCTATAATCATAAAACAAATTCCAATGAACAATCAATCTGTCAATATTTACAGGTAAAGAATACACAGAATTCCTTCTTAAGAAATACATTGACTTATCCTTGACAAAGTTTATCAGCTTGTGATTTAGGATGATTATCAATTAATCAGTTATCCACAAATGGAACGACAAAATAGCATAAGATAAACCAAAAACTTGATTTCTTATAGTTAGCCAGTCCATTTTGAGGCACTAAACTACAATCACAATGTCAGCATCACCAGGTTGATTAACTGATTTGTGTTCATTTTAAAGGAGTGCTTTTTAGTGTTGATAATTACAATTTTATTTAATTATATTTTAAACAAAAGTGCACTTGTTTCCCTCAAGTAGAAAAGACATACGCCCACTAAGGAAAACTTGAACAAATATAAAAAGCACAAAAAAGATAACCACCAAACCCCTAAAAAGGACACACGGAATGGCATCAGATCAGGAAAGGATCCCCAGCAAGGTACAACAGAGAAGACTGGCTAGCTTAAAGCTGGGGATCTTCAAGTGCACTTCTCAGACCAGCTATATCGGCATCACACGGGAGCTTGTTTAAAATACAAATTCTCAGGTCCCACCCCAGACCTACTCCACCAGAAGTTCTGAGGGTGGAGGCCAGCAAGAGGTGTTTTAACAAACCCTCCAGGGGATTCTGATACAAGCTCGTTTGAAGCTTGGTAAACAACTATTTTCAAAGAAATCAGTAATTTTCAGATTTAAAACATTTTTAATGGACACAGATACACCATTTGCCCATGCATGGCCTACGTATGTTTATTTTTAAAAATCTAATGAACACTCTTGAAATGGCCCCCGCCTCCAGCCCAAGAACGTGAGCAGTAACTAACGTCTACCTCTGCACGCCCCTCCAGGTGCATCCAATGTGCCCCTCTCGGAGATGACCACTATGCTGAATAGTCCACTTCCTCTTCCCTTTCCCCTTTGGTTTGATACTAAAATTATATTTAGTTTTATTAAGATGCATTCCTACTGCTGCATGGAGATCTATTTCATTCATTTTCACTGCTGTATGATACGCTATTATAACGTAGTTTGTGCTTTCTCTTATCAATGAGCATATGGGCTATTTCAATTTTTGCTATGACAAGCAGTGTTGCTATGAGCATTCTTATACAAGCCTCCAGATACATGTATGCTAAACTTCCCATACGTGGGAATGAAGTGCTAGGCCACAGGGAATTTGGATGTTCAACTTTTTATAAAAGAACATAAAATTGCTCTCCAAAGTGGTTGAACTAATTTCACACCCAAAGGAAGAAAAAAAGACATTCTCTTGACCTACATGTTCTCCAACACTTGGTAGTTTGGATTTCTTAAATTTTGTCAACTGAATGGATGTAATACAGATCTCATGTGGTCTAGGGTTGCATTTCTCTGAATACAAATGAGGCTGACATCTAGTCATATGTTCATTAGCCTTATCTGACTAATTTTCTGTAAAACCTTTTTTTTTCAATGTACCTAAGGTTTTTATTTTTTTCTTTAAATTTTTTATTGTTATGTTAATCACCACACATTACATCATCAGTTGTTGATTGTAAAACTCTATACATCTCCCATTTTCCTGTGTGGGAACATGGAATATATTTCTTAGTTAGGTCTTTAACGCTCTTCAATAAAGTTTCATTTTATTCCTCCCACAGGCCTTATTCATTGTTAATAAGATTCATTTTTATTGCTCTTGTAAATGGGGTCTCTGTTTTAAGTTGTTTTCTAATTGCTTGTTCGTGATGTAGAAAAATGCAATGGATTTCTGTTTATTGAAGTCATATCCAACCACTTTGTTGAACTCTCAAAACTATCATTTCTAGTAGTTTATTGCAAGTTATTTTTGATATTCTCTATGGACAATCATATCATTTGCAAAAAAAATGATTTATCTTCTCCCTTCAATCTTTACAGTTTCAAATTTTTTTTTCTCATTTTATAGTGCTGGCTAAAACCTCCAAAACAATGATGAATACAAGGGGCAATGGTAGAGATCTTTGTCTTGTTCCCAATTTTAAAGAATGCTTAGAACATGTCCCCAATTAGAATAAAGGCTGCTTCAAATATTTTTATAGATCTTATCAAGTTGAGAAAATTCCTTATTACTAGCTTACTAATAGTTTTTATTGTAAATTAGATTTTATTAAATTCTATCTATTGCATTTCTAAACCTACTGATTATATGGTTTATTCCTCTTAATCTGTTAACATAATGACATGTATTGACTTTCTAATATTAAACTATCCTTACGTTCATGAGATAAACCAAACTTGGTCATGGTATATTATCTTTTTTCAAACACTATTAGATTCAGTTTGCCAATACTGGTTTAGGATTTTTACATCTAGATCAAGAGTGAAATGAGTCTGTCATTTTCCTTTCTCTTATTGTTCCTTATATGCTTTTGGATAGCAAAGTAATCTCATTAGAATGGATTGTGAATATGCCTTCTATTCTTAATCTTTGAAAGAATTTGTTCATTATTGGAAGATCTGTTCTTAAAAGTTTGGATCTGGTGGGTTTTTTTTTTTATACGAGTATGTTAATTTAATTAACTTTATAAGAACTGCATTTATAATTACAGGACTACTCAGGGTTTCTATTTCCAAAGCAGCATTTTGGTGCTTTTTCTTTTTTTTTTCTTTTTAAAGATTTTATTTATTTATTTGAGAGAGAGAATGAGAGAGAGAGAGAGCATGAGAGGGGGGAGGGTCCGAGGGAGAAGCAGGCTCAGCAGTCCCCCCGATGCGGGACTCGATCCCGGGACTCCAGGATCATGACCTGAGCCGAAGGCAGTCGCTTAACCAACTGAGCCACCCAGGCGCCCTTGGTGCATATTTTTCTAGGAATTTATTCATTTCATCTAAGTTTTCAAATGTACTGGCATAAAAATTTTGTTTAAAAATTCTTTTTTATTGCAAAGCTTTTCAGTCTTTTCAAAAATCTAATCTAATAATTATACACAGTATGTGTGATACTCTTGAACAGAGCAAGTGGCATATTCAGTACTGTTTAAAAACCAGCCCACTATGTTTTCAAAATGGTAAGCTAAGAAGTTTATTTCATTAAGAGTTTATGAGGGGGAGGGGTGCCTGGGTGGCTCAGTCAGTGAAGCGTCTGCCTTTGGCTCAGGACATGATCCCAGGGTCCTGGGATCGAGCCCCCCATCGGGCTCCCTGGTCGGTGGGGCGTCTTCTCCTCCCTCTCCCTTTGCCCCTCCCCTGGCTCGTGCTCTCTGTCAAATAAATAAATAAAATCTTTAAAAAAAGAGTTTATGAAGGGTAACTTGTTTTGGCTACTGTGTTTACATTTTAAAAAACACAGGTGAGGAATGCTGCCATGTTACCTTTTAATTATGGGTCCATGTTCTGAATTTCAGTTGGTTCTGATGTAATGATGACAGCTTTTTATACTTTGGAGAGAAGATAGAATTGCTACCTCTAAAGTCAGGTTAAAAAAAAAAAGTAAAACCCTAATTCCTTTCCTCATGATATTTGACATTTACAGAGTCATAACAGTTTCTTACATGGAAAAAATAAATTTATATAGAACTTAAGTCTTCCACGACAGAAATATTTTAAACTGCACCCTCTGTCCTGAGTCCAAAATCCTGTGGAGTTGTTTTCACTGGTGGTCCCATGCTACACACAGAAGAGTATTTTTCTGGGAGACAGAGCCCAGACTGCCCCATGACCGCCCTCATTCAGGGTACCCTGAAGATTAGATGGCACTCTGGATGCTCATTCCTCCCTTCTGGCTGGTAGGAGTCTTGGGCGCAGCTGACTTCTAGACCAGTGCTTCTTGAGCTTTACCGTGTACTCCCATCACCTGGGGGTCTTGTTAAAAATGCAGGTTCTCATTTCAGGGGTCTGGGGTAGAGTCCCAGAGCCTGCATTTCTAAGAAGTTCCAGGCAATGCTGATGCTGACGCCATTAATCTTCCCTGAGCAGTGTTCTTCTAGGTGGTCTGAGTGGATTTCTGAGTCAGGTGGCTTCTGGGCAGTCAGCCTCTACCTCCTTGCAAATTCAGTATGTATGACTATCAAGCATGAAGTGAAAAGTTCTATGGACAGGTGCTGGGCTAACGTGTACTACTTTAGTTTGCCATCAGAGCATTTAATTTTGATCATTTTCTCATTAGGATACATTTAGAACTTGCTCACTTCAAGAGCACCAGCTAAGTGTCCACTATTGACGCATTTTCACACACCGGTTCTAAAAAGCATGGCGCTATGTTCTAAATTTCTCATCATATATGAAAAAGGTTTTTTCCCAACAAAATACATCTTCAAGACAATATACCTTCTGTTCTCCCCACATCTCAGTCTCATTACAAGTGTAGTGTTCTAACTGCTGCCCTGTCCCTGGAATGAGGCACCCAAGGGCAATCAATTCATTCCCCACTCTGCCTTGAAAAATCCTCAGGTGGGCAGAGAGATACTGAGAAAGAGAAGATGCTGCTCCCTTATCACCCAGCAAACATCAGTCTCTGGTGTAAAGAGACTCAGGCTCATTAAACTCACAGATCCCTAATTAACCCTTTAGGCTTTTGAAGTTGGAGTGTGTGTACTTCAAGGTAGATGCTCTGCATGGGAGCCTGACTCATGCAGTGGATATGTTCCTGAAGTTGGTTGCTCATCAAAAGGGGCTGGTTTTGCTTTTTTTAAAAAATGAAAGTACATTTTAAATATGCCAGAGAAGCCTGCTATTTAAAGGGAGATTACTATAAAATCTTTTGTAAAATAAAAAAAAAATCACTTATTTTCCTTTTGGTCATATCTGGATTTCCAGAGACTGACTTTATATAAAATAGGGCAAAAGTTTAAGTAAATTTGAAGAAGAGAGCCAATTAAAAGAGAACTTATCTGGTTCTAGAATTAAAAATAAGCCTATGTTTATCAGAAGAATGACTGTCTTATGTTGCTTTTTCAGGTGTAAGATGCTCTTGGCAAGCTCTGACTTACAGTCTTACTCCTTGGTAAATAAAATATCTTTCTTCATTTTGTGAATATCAATTCTTAGTCATTCAAATGAGTCACATCTTCAGTAAATTGCTGATCTGGTACCACTCCAAGTCATCCAAGTACACAGTTATTAACAGGCCTATTACCCAAATTTCCCCTTTATTCATTCAAAGGATACTGTCCAAAATTAGCTTAGTGAGAGCCTGGTATGCTGACAAATCACACATTTCAGAAATTTGATTGTAGGAAAAATCCACCTTCTGATGAGAAAAAGAGAACAATATGTCAAAGTTTATTTTTCATCTGCTTAACTACCATAATTCCTCGCATAAGAAGGTCTTTCTGGCTGTGGGGTTAGAAGTCATTACTGAAAATACGCCAAGGCTAACATAGCCACCCATATCTAATCCTGTTCTGTCTGGACCCTTGTCTGTTCAGTCTGAGGGAGCCAGGGGAGGAGGCTCCTGCCCTGCAGCTGGTGTGGACACCCCCACCCCCTAAATGCTTTCCATTCCTACTCTTTCTCTCTCTCCATTTCCAGCAATCACTTCAGACTTTGTTCATCTTCCCGCAGAATTCACCTCAATTCCGCTTTTACCACCATTTCTTTCATTTCCTCTACTGTCCCACAAGCGGCATTCACTTAGTTTCCGTGCTTATCTTTTCTCTGCCTTTTCTCCTCTCTCTCAATATATTCTCCTGTGTCACCTCCGAAGTGCCAGAAAAATCTATTTTATTCATGCCTCAGGCTACATCTCATCCACTTAACACCCTTTCTCAAAACAGACTATTTTAGGAAAGCCTTTCCAGCAACAACAGTTGTTCTTACTCAAAAATAGGAGACTAAAGAAAATCAACATTAAATAACTTTAAATATTCACCCACAAGCAAAAGATGAACAAAAAGGATTAAAAAAAAAAAAACTTCTTTAAAACGCTGCACTGATAACTTGCTGGGCACATGTAATAATTTTCTGGAAAACTATCAAACAATGATCTAATGAGCACTATTCTTATCTTCTTGTGCCCTTTAAAACAGTGATTCCACCCCCAAAAATGTACTAAGAATATTTTATCAATGTATTAAATACTAAAAACTTTAAATACTGAAATTTTAAATACTGAAGAGAAGAAAATGGATTAAGTTGATTACAAGATAGCAACAGGACCACAATGTCAGTAAAACACAAGTGTGTGAACCATGTGAAGAAACAGTAATGTGCAAACAAAATACTGTTAGTCCAAAAACAACCAAACAGAACACAAAACTTGACGCCTATATAAACTCCAACTATGTCAATCGCAGACCATGGCTGACCTAAGAAGTCAGTCTGGCTTGATGGAATGAAGTTTCATATTCACTTTTGCCTTCTAGGTAATAATGATGGACTGGAAGTCAACATAGTAATCTAGGCTTACCTATAATTGACACTTTTTCATCAACACCTTCCGTTCCTGTGCCATGGCTGGGTCTGCTCCTCTCTAACTCTACCCTTCTCTGGGCCACACGCCCATACTGTGCCCTCTGGTCCCTGTGATACCAGGTGTGTTGAGAGGCCTGAAAGGGTTCTGATGGTGCTCTGACTTCCCCTGGGAGTTCCACTGGACCTGAAGCCTTGCAGGGAGTCCCATCTATCAAATGAACCTGCTGGACCTACTAAGAGCAAAGCATTCTGGGAAATACAAAGCGTGTGTAAGAACAAGCCCCTGTGCTTTAGGAAACATATGTCTTCTCTGGCTGGTAGCACAAAGCTCACGAATAGTAAGTGAACAGGATGCTGAGCTTTTCGAGATGGTGGGACGGTGTACACAAGCCTGGCTTCCTGGGAAGACATAGCCTTTGGGTGGCAGACACTGGGTTCCATCCCAGCCCTGCTACCTCCCAACAGAGATGACATACATGATTTGCCCTTTCTATACTCTGGAGTCCTCATCTGTGAAATGGGACCATCGCAGCTGCCTCACAGCTCTACGGGGAGGATTGCTTAAGATAATGCCCTGAAAACACCAGCAGGTGTGGGTCACTGCCTCAGGCTGACACAGGGTTCACAAGGGCTTGGAGCACGTCATCACAGGCGGTCTGGCTCTTTCCAGGCACTTCTCTACAGTGACTGATAGATTTGCTCTTAACTCTCTGGGAGCTCGGAACCTTAAAGATGGGGTATCTGCATTGTTTTTGTTCATTGGCGAAGCCTTCTTGGCGGGGGAAAGGGTGAATAGAAGAAATCCCAAGGAAGTTTTTCCCAGGGAAGGGGTTACACGGTTGCCATGACTCATTTCCCTGGGGCTTAGGACAAAGCAGAATGGGACAGCAACTCAGGGAGAGATGAAACAGCTCCACAAATAAAATTCCTGATCACCTGGAGACCACGTGGCCCCACACCGAGTACAAATAGGCATCTTGCATGGCTTATTTATGGACAAAGGAATGTCACCCTGGCAATAAGTATAATTTCAAAGGGGAAAATTTTTACCCCACTATTGAGAAAAAAAGGGGTGAACAGAAGAAAAATTAAGAAGAGCATCTCACTAGCAGCATGGGTGATGTCAGATTCTTGATTTCAAACAAACTTTCATATTTGTGCGAGCCCCAATAGAATGCCTGGGCTCTAAGTTCATTTCGTTTGTAAATAAAACAAAATAGATAATAAAAGCAATAACTGATGTCCAATTCTAAAAACATTTAATGAAATATATTAGTCTACTAGAACACTAATCCCAAGCTCACAGCAACCGTTCCCAAATTTGTCAGCACATTAGAGCCACCTGGGGGTCTTTTAAAAATTCCACATCCAGGCCTTACCTGGGGCCACTTGAATCAGACTCTCTGGCAGTGAGTAGGTTTTGAAAGTCCCCAGGTGACTGCAATGTGCAGAAGAGTCTGGGAACCATGAATCTACAACGTCTCTGCTTCGATGTGGCCCATGGACCACCAGCAGCAGCATCACGTGGGAGGCTGTTAGAAACCACAGTCTCAGGCCTGACTTCAGACCTCCTGGGTCAGAATCCCTAGTTTCACAAGAACTCTAGGTGATCTATACGCACATTAAAGCACGAGACACAGCCCAGAGCCCGCTGTTCCATCAACTACCATTCACAGAGTTTAGTTGTGTGTCAGATGCAAACTGACACACTGATGCTTCTCTTGCTTTCAGAGAAGCAAGACCAGAAATCATTGTGGGAAAAAAAAGAAAGTAAAGGTTGGATAAATAGGGCAAAATTTGAGCCCCCAAAGAAATTTTTACAGGTTTTCCAGGTATAAAATTGTTGTACTATACTTACAAATATACAAATAATATACAATAATAACTAGTATTTAGCTGTGGGAAAGAGAAGGAAGTTAGTTTCTCAGCCTGAACACTACTAGCAAAGCTTCCTAAAAAGATTATCTGCAGACAGACCATCTCCCTTTTTCATCAGTGATACCCAAATCCCTTTTTATTTCATTTCAGACATTTATACTATTTACTCCCATATCTTAGGGTGTCTGAATTATCTGTTTAAGCACTGTTTTGCGTGTTAATGTACTTTGCAAGCCAGTTAATGAATGAATGTATTGATCAAGTCTACCTTGAGATTTCTGGGTGGCTTGAAATTGAAGAATGTCGTCAGTTTATTGTGAGAAGCATTAAGTTCCAGAAGGTAAGGCATACAACTCACACAAGACAGATCTGGGGGGAGAAACAAATACAGAATAAGGTAAGCCAATAAAATCAAAATTAGACTAAGTCATTAAAAACAGCTTATGTTATGGGGCGCCTGGGTGGCTCAGTCGGTTAAACGTCTGCCTTCGGCTCAGGTCATGATCCTGAAGTCCTGGGATCAAGCCCCACATCGGGCTTGGTGGGGAGCCTGCTTCTCCCTCTCCCTCTGCCCTTCCTCCCTGCTTGTGTTCTCTCTCTTTCTCTCCTTCTCTCTCTCAAATAAATAAATAAATAAAATCTTTAAAAAAAAAACAGCTTATGTTACATCAGAGCATCTTCTCATTAGCCAGTTGCATGCACTTCTTAATTATTGCAAGCAAGTGAAATGAATAAAAACAGGAATCCGTGAAACACACACAGTGTGGAGAACTCTCCATGAGCTCCTAACTTCACCTTCTTCCCCAGGGCCTCCCCTCCTCTTCTATCCTTTTTCAAGCGACAGGTGCACCTTCCAGGTCCCAGCTCACTCTCCCAGGAGCTACTAACAGCCAAATGCTTCAAAAAATACCAGCCTTGGAGGAAAGGACGAGAAACTAAAGCCATAGATAATCCCCTTGATAATTAGCCCCTAAGTGGCTGAATTCTTTTCAGAAAGACTGGCTCTGGATTGGTTCAGAAGTATGTCTGAGTTTTGCACTTTGTCCCAAGCAAATATTCTAAACCTCGAAACACTAAGGACGGCTGTGCTCTAATGGCAGCAACGTACAAAACATAAAAATGATGAAGTACTAGGTTGCCTTCCTCTGCCCCTTTACAGCAGAGGCACACTTCGGGGCAGCAGGATAAATTAGACAAAGACTCTGGAAGAATCATAGGAAGAGGGGCACCTGGGTGGCTCAGTCGGTTAAGCGTCTGCCTTCAGCTCAGGTCATGATCCCGAAGTCCTGGGATCGAGGCCCGCATCGGGCTCTCTGCTCTGCAGGAAGCCTGCTTCTCCCTCTCCCACTCCCCTTGCTTGTGTTCCCTCTCTCTCTGTCAAATAAATAAATAAAATCTTTAAAAAAAAAATCGTAGGAAGAGGATTTACAGCCCTGTCTCCAGCAGGAACTTAAGTCTCCACCTGAAAACAGTAATCATAATAGCTTCTCCCTCTCTTTTCATTCTAGGTCACAGAACCAGCTATTACACCTCCCGCTCCCCCCCACCAGGAAGGACCCTAGTGGCAGAATGGAGCCTCCACACCCGAAGCCAAGAGGACCACTCTGACCTGTCACCAGGTGACAGATGCACCCAGCCTAGGAGAAGGGAGCAAGGCCAGCAGCTGGGGTCTTCCCTGGAGTAGGCACCATGAGCAACCCCCTCAGCCCAGCTCCCCCCAGCATCTTTCCTTCTCAAGATCCCACCAAATTCTATGTCATTTCTCTGGTCTAAATCACACCCTTCTTAAACCTGTCTTTATGGAATTGTTCTAGGACAGACAATACACTGAGACTTTAACACTTTGGTGGGACTTAATGAGTGAATCAAGGAAGGCTGCCTGGAAAAGGAAACCTAAGGTGAAACTGTCATGACTTTACAAGTCTTGCCTATTTGTCCTTTCTGAGCTCAGCTCCACATCTATCAGTCAATCAACTCTATTAATATCCACCAGCCCCGATGCGTCCTTGGAGCTGATCTTTCCGTGGGCAGGTAAGTCCTGTACCATGGAGCTGTCCTGAAGCAGAAGCAGCTGCTACCACCAAAATGGAGCTACATCCCAACTTTGTAGATGACTGATCCTTTCAAACCACTCGGACAAAAAAAAAAAAAAGCATGATCTTGGTTGCTGGGCTTTTAACCCTGGCTGGCCCATTAATCCCTACTTGGTGCAGTGAACTCCATGTCCACCAGATGGCAGGAGCTCCTTGCGTCTACAAAGGTGGTTCTCAAAGTGTGGTCCTGGATGTGGCAAGTCGGCTTCCCGGGGTGGGGGCGGGGGGGGGGGGGAGGCTAATTAGAAATGCACATTCTCAAGTCCCACCCCAGAGCTACAGAATCAGATACTCTGAGGGTGGGGCACAGCCAGCTGTATTTTAACAGGCCCCCTAGGTGATTCTGATGCAAGCTGAAATCTGGTCTACTTCAGAACAGAAGCTGTTCTCACAAAAAAGAAAAATATACTGTGCCTTACACATAGTAGGTTCTCAAACACTGGATAAGCGAAGAAAATGGGCCCTAAAAGATTAAAGGAGACTGATCTGAGGAAAGCTCCATTAGCAACTGTGGGGTCCTGGCTCAAGCTGCCAGGGTAGGAGGCCACCACTGAGCATTGCTGCAGCCTCCCATCACGCTGCAATTCCTTATCCAGCGAAGGAAACCAACCTGGGAGTGGTGGGGTGCGGGGCAGCTCCTGCCAGTGACATTGAAAAACCCTTTCCGATGATAGGTGTATCTGGGGTTTGCTTTAAAATAACCCTGGCGGGGGGCGCCTGGGTGGCTCAGTCGTTAAGCGTCTGCCTTCGGCTCAGGTCATAATCCCAGGGTTCTGGGATTGATCCCCACATCGGGCTCCCTGCTCAGCGGGGAGTCTGCTTCTCCCTCTCCCTCTGCCTCTCCTCCTCTCCCTGCCTGGGCTTGCTCTAAAATCTTTAAAATAACCCTGGGGAAGTTGGGCAGAGAGGTATAGGTGAAACCAGACGGGCCATGGGCTGATAGATGTTGAACCTGAATGTTCATTACAATAGTCTCTTGTGCACATTTTTTTTAATGGAAAATTACAAACAAGATCCATAAAACTAGAAAAAAATAACTCACAAACAGGAGCATTAGAGGAATAAACCATGCTGGAATATTTCTTAGCCACTGAAAAGCAAGGCTGGATTTTAATTATTGCTCTCTTAGGAGGGGAAGAAATCAGAAAGGAGCCAGAGAAAACCATATCAGCAACATTTAACCATCATAAAAAAGACAGGCTAAAGAAGCAAGTGGAAAGATGACCAGCAAAGAAAGCAGGTCGGAAATAACAACTGCTGACTTCCCTCCAAGTCTAAAGAAAAGATGTTGGACACTTTAACTTCAAATAAGATCGGAAAATTAGGAACAAGAATCAAGCTTCGAAGAAAATGTGACTAATTTAATTAAATGTGAGCAAGATGTCACAACAAATACATTACAGAGAACTACAAATGGTGAAGTTGAAAGAATCAGATACATGTATAGAGACAGTAAAAAAAAAAAAAAAAAAAAAGAATCAATGTGTGAATCCCTGGCACTCAAGAAGAAAAGTAGCTGGCGAGAATTAAAATGTAGACGCAAAAGCAAACTAAAGAAAAGAATCCATTAAAGGAAAAAAGGGGGGAGGGGAGGACTAATTCATCTGTACTGAATAAACTAATAGGGGGAAAGGCAAGGGAATCATCAAATATTCAGGAAGTATTAAAGAAGTAATGAGCTGTCTCTTACAAGGAAAAAACAAAGCAAACATTCCATGGGATACTCTTCAACATCACTGAGCACCTTTGAACCGTAGCATAATGTTGCGTGTTTGCTGACTTTACTCATCACCCATGGTGCCTTTTTTACATGCAAAGTAGAGCATTGATATGTAAATGGTCCACAAGAGTGCTTATACCAAGTTTTGTAGTATTAATCTATATTACATACTGCAAAGCTTAAACTTTGAAATAACTGAATGATCCATCAATCTATTAGAATGAAAATTACATACCTTCAATTTTATTTACTGAAAGATCCAACTTCTGTAGGTGAACATATTCACAAAGAATGCTAATGTCAATTAAATCACAACCCTGAGAAAATAAAAGGTAAAAAGACTTTAATGCTGCTTTAACAGGTTAGTACTCAGCCATCTCCTGACATCTGGAAATAAGAGTTGACAGAAAGAAATCCAGAATTTCTGTAAGTATAGTAAGTGTAGTATACTATACTTATAGTAAAAGTATAGTAAAAATATACTTACTTATAGTAAAATATAGTAGTTAAATGAGAGAACTAAATCTGAGGCCTACTACTAACAGGATCTCAAAGCAGATGACAAACCCATTTAAAAAATGCATTCCTCTGCAGAAGACAATAGCTTGGAAAATTAGTGATATTAGCAAGAACAAATACAACATGAAAAGGCAAATTAAAAGTGTCAGGTAGACCTTTAGAGCAGAGTTTTATTATTAAAAAAAAGAAGAAAAAGAAAACCCCACATAATAGCAGTAAGGCCAAAGCCTTTCTCTAGTAGAAGAAAAGGCAGATGCCTAGAATTTAAATGAAATGCTAAAGAGATCTCACGCATCATCAGGAGATCATTAATGACACTGTCACCTATATTTTCACAGGGTCCTGTTCAAAGCTCCTTCACAGTAATCTCATCTGACCAAGTAAAACTGAGATCCGTAGGGTCGACTATTCCCAATTTGGCAATGAGGAATAGGAGGGACAGAGAGGGATGTAAATAACCTAAAATCACACAGCAAATTAGCAACAGAGAAGCAGATCCAAGTCTCCTAATCCTTCTCCAAGATTCTTTTCACGAAATCTCGCGAGATTTCGTGAAATCTTTTCACGAAATCTAGAGAACTTCAGGATGGGAGAGGGGAATTTGGTCCCTTGGAACAGACTCTTGTGGCTGGTTTATGTTGCAGTGTGAGAATCAGAAAAAGCCAACCAATGAAGTATCATGATAAGCAAGTTCTCAAATACACTGATGATAAAAATGTTTAATGAAGGCCGCAAGAATAGTGTAGTAAATATTAAAGAAAACCTACCATGCACAAGGCATTGTGCATCATGACAAATACAGAGCAGTTATGGGGTAGAGCTGTACTGTGCCCTTAAGAAACTTAGGACTTTGGTAGGAGAGAGGCTATGTACATAAGTAATAAGAAAAAGTAAAAAATAACGTGTAACGTAAGATACAAGGGGGAAAAATCACTAACCAGGCAACCATAAGAAAGTGTATGCAGTAAGACAGGTTATAAAGGCAAAGTAATTCAATATGTAATATCTCAAATGTAAGGAGGTCAGGGGCAAGGTAAGTTAAGCATCAGCCCATCTAGCTGAAATAAGATTTAAAGGATCTTTTTTTTTTTTTTGCAGATCAATTTAAGGCATAGCACTACATACATAAGTAGAATACTAATTGAAATGGACTTGTGCGAGGATGTACTGGATGCTGGAATTATCTACCCTTCCAATGCCTGACACAGGGCAGTGTACACAGGATGCTCCTTGTAAGTTACTGCTTAACTGGCTAAGTCATCCATAAAATGTTATAAAGTGAAAACAGTAAAAGATTACAGACTTAATATGCTGTCCTCAAAGAATATGCCATGGAACCAGCATGGGTAAAAAGAGCTTAACATTTCTTGGATAGTTTACTAGTTCAAATCCAAGATGGACCAAGATTATGAGTTGTATATGCTTTGCTTGCTGCGAATTATATATACTTTAGCCAAATTATAGTACAGTAGCAAAATTTCAGTGGGCTTTTTTTCACCTATGTATCTGCATTTACTGTGTGGATCTCCAAGGAATATTTAATACTTTACAATATAAGGATGCAAAAAGAGTTAAATTATTTTTCTAGGACTATAGAGAAACAAAAGGAAGAAAGAATTTGAAATACGAAGAGTACTTTGCTCTTACAGCTTCCCTTAAAAAGTGAAGCCAAGATTATGTGTTAGTATTGACACCGTGAAAATTGAACATTTTTTTCTTTGATAATGGGTATCTTTTGGAAAGTGAACTGTGGCTGAAAGCTACTTATTTCTTGACATACGTTGGGGGGGGAGTCAATACCAAAATACTCTGTTCCCTTGGATTTAGATATTAATTTTAGTCCTGGCACTGATCAGAGAGAAAATTCTTCAAGAGTTTTTGATTGGTTTCACAGAGTCAAATTCAACTTCTGGAAAGAAAGCATTGATTACTATAATATAGACTACTTAAGATGAAAGAAACAGACTGATGGGAATGAAAACAAAGGAATTCAGGGGCTGATTACTGGACTGCCCAGAGCTCTTTGATGCCTCACATAACATAAATAACTCTTATCACCAATTTCCATTAAATGAAAGACTCTGAGAGCTGGGGCCAACACAAAAGCTCTGAGTACCAGAAAAAACAGATATGGTCCAACCAGTATCAAGATGTAGCCCAGTCAGCCCATGGTGATCTTGTCATACTTACTGATAAAGCTAGATTGAGATAGACCTGCTCAGTCCCAGAGCCTGAGCGCCCCAACTGGTGAAGGGCATTGGCCACGACCTCCTCTCTCAGGACCCCATCAAATTCCTCCTGCAAAAAAAAAAAAAACACACAAAAAAACAAAAAACCAGAGAGGTGGACAAAGGACTTCCATTAGAAAAGAAACAGTCCAGGGGCGCCTGGGTGGCTCAGTTAGGTTAAGTGTTGACTCTTGATTTCAGCTCAGGTCATGATCTCGAGGTCATGAGATCAAGCCCCACAACAGGCTCTGCACTCAGTGGGCAGTCTGCTTGAGGCTCTCTTTCTCTCCCTCTGCCCTGCCCCCTGCTCTCGCTCGCTCATGCTCTCTCGCTCTCTCAAATGGACAAAAAAATCTTTAAAAAAGAAACGAAACAGTCCACCTCCTCACAGCCAGCACTTAGTATATCACATAATCAGGAGCTGACCCTTCCAGAATTTATCAGCCCTAAAGAAAATTCTATGTTGAAGACACATACATAGGACATACAAATACCAATCAAATCGGTGTTTTCATTGCCACCGAATTTTCGGGTGGTCACTTGCATTAGGTATTCAAAGTGAAATCAACACAACAGCAGCGGAGGCATCACCATTAATGGTGAGTGTTTCTCTGTTCCAGGCACTAAGCTTTCAGTGATCAACTCATTGAATCCTCCTGATAACCCTGAGGTAGGTACTCTTAGTTCCATTTGACAGATGAGGAAACTAAGGCTTACAGGGGTTAACTCGCCTAAAACCACATAGCTAGTATGTGACAGAACCAGAACACAAACCTGAATCTGTCTGACTCCAGGGCAATTCTAACCACTATACTAGACTGCTGGCCTCCACCCAAAAAGATGGTTACATCCAAATTAAGGCAATTACTTTGCTAAATCTGGTATTCTTGCTGGAAAAAAAATAAACAAAACAAAAAACAGGTTCTCAATTTACTTCCTATTAGCTAATTTTACTGGAGTCATACAATTTACAAGATTTATTAAAAGGGTAACAATCACTGCCATAAGGAGGTTGGCCCTTGGTCTGTAGAAAGCCATGAACCAGTGATGAGTCAAAATGCCCTTTCCCCAAAAATAACAAACAGAAGAGACAACAGGTAGATCGGTGTTAGGTTTGTACTGCCTTCAACCCTATAATGACCAACACATTAACACTAACATCAGCATGAGGACACAAAATCCAGTAATCCCATCAGTCACACCAATATAACTAACCATGACTAGCATGTGGACAAAAATGGCAAAATACTCTTTCCAGTTCCATATTAATTCAGGAACCAACAATGCTGCTCAGGCTGCTGGTACTGAGGCCATAAGTACATAGGCTTGTGCTACTAGAAAGAGCTTCTCTGTGCCCCCCTCCATCTCCACTAGCCCAAGGAAGCAAATATCGCTCATGGATATAAATGGAGATAGTGCACAGGCTGTGAGGCTGGACAGGCTTGGTTTGAACCCCCGATCTGCCATTTTCAGTTTATGACTTTGGGGAGATAAAGTTTTCTCTGAGCCTCATATCTGCAATAGGAAATTTTATTACCTTCTCTTAATATTTTAGGGAGAATAAAAAAAAACAGTGTAAAGCTCTTAGTGCCGTTGCCTAGAACTATAGCAAGTGTTCCCAATAAATGACAGTTGCTTCCACTAATTGATGAAGTTGGAAATTCCGCATCTTACTGTTTCATTCTTCCATACCAATCCACCTGTTTACAAATGGAAGAAAGACACTCACTTTTCTAAATATAGCTCCAACTTCTTATACAAGGCCTGGGAAGGATTAGAGGTGGGGGTGTTACCTTCCCTCCAAAACTTTCCATCTAAACCTCTGAAGTTTACCTGACACACCGCCTCTATTTCCTGGTGTGAGAAGATATTGCACCCCTGACTGACAGTAAGTCAATGTCGGTCTTTCAGCATAGCTACTGATATGGAGACCGGCACGCCGGTCAGCCTTTTCCCAGATCCCCCCAAGGCAAGCCTCCCCATGGCAACCCCCTCACACCTCCATTGAGGTTCTTGCCACTTATCAGCATCATGCCTTTCTCTTCTGATCTTTGGTCATTTTCAGACCTTTACAAGCCCTACTTGATCTTGGGTGGCTTCAGAGCCTAAGGAAGGCCATTCAATTCCCCTCCTGCTCCCAAGCACTCGCGTGCACACGCACGTTTCTTTCTCATCTCCACAATCAACTTTAAATTGATCTCTACTCAGCTTCAGCCACTCATCCCCATGGCCATGCCCTGAACCAAGTCGTCACGCTGAACTGTTCCACCTTAGAAACCTCAGAACCTAGTATTCTCCTCCGTGATCCTACAACCCTTCCAACCCCTACTGACCCTGTTCTGTGATGACAACAAAATCTCCGGTCTGTTCATCTTTTCCTCTGAGTCTATCTGTCCTCTCTCACTTCCTTCCCTGCTTGGTATCCCCTGGGCCATTTCAATGTCTCCCTACCCTTAAATCTCTGACTCCTGGTCCCCCCGACTCAAACTACCGCACACATACCCAAACCTGAATCAAGTTCACAATCAACTACTGCTCTGAGGCAGGGACTATGTCATGCTCATCATTCATTTGGGACAAAAATCTTTATAGCATGCCAGGCACATGCCAGCCAGTATGCTAGGCTCAGTGAACAGAATTATTATGAATAAGACATGGTGCCTATCCTTAAGGGATTTACAATTCAATCTGGGAGACAGACAAGTACACAAGCAATTTCAGTAGTTTGATGAATATTACAATACGAGTAAGCAGGGTGCTTTGACTATAAGCAGGGCATCCATTTTATGTCAGTTCTAGGGGGAATTAGGTTAGCAAAGACTTGCTGGGGGAGAAAGCAATGAAGCTGAGACACAAGTAACTGAGTTACTCTGGCAAAGGAGAAGAACGGACAGAAGAAGAGGACCAAGAAGGGTACTGCAGGCAGAAGGGCAACAGGTACAAAATTCCAAAGGCAAAGGTGAACACGGCCCATTGGGGAACTAGAGTTCAAAATAGCTGAAGCATAAAGCAGGAGGGGCAAGATGGTGCCTGGTCCACGGCAGGCGCTCAAACACGGCTGAGTGAATAAAAATTGTTCCTGCCCTTGAGCTAGTGAGTGGGCTGGGAGGGGCCCCACAACCGTGCTTGCTGGTACCACTCCGGGGCCAGCTGTTAGCCGGGCAGGCCGCTGTTCCAGTCCCTCATTCTTCATCAGCTCCCACCTTGGCTGCCAGCTCTTCATCCTCTCCTTGAGCCTCGGGGTGCCTCCACTCCTTTGTCCTCACTCTCAGCAGGTACATTGCTCCTCCACTTCCCGGGCAAAGTAGAAGTGATCAGACGCCAACCGGTCAGCGTTCTGCACCTGTCCAAACGCCCTTCATTCGGGTGTCAGAGGCAGACTGCTTCTTTTCTGCACTCAGGGCCCCCACCTCCTGTTTCCTCAGGGACCTTGCTTGGGGACCCTCCATTTTGCCCTCTTTGCCTGGGATTTCAGCCAGTCTCTCTCCGCCATCATTCTGCACCCTGTCAGTTCTCCAGTGGTGCAAGTCTGTGAGTCCCTTCGGTCCCGCATGTTCCTTTAGCTACAGCTTCCCTAAATAACCGAGCTACTGCAGAGCTGCTTTGCCATCCTTTAGTGCCCCCTTGCTCACCTCCCATTCACTCTTCAATGCACGTGAGCTAGCCTTCTGCCTTCGCCACATCACAAAACCACATGGGCCAAGGCCTCCAATCACCCTCAAATGGGCAAAGCTAACGAGCACTCTTTAGGGTCCTTTCCACTTAACCCACTGGCAGCACAACTCATTTCCATGTTCTTGAGACTCTTCCTTGCCTTGGCTTCCCCTCACACAGCCCTTCTTTCTTTTCCTCCTCCGCTTACCATTCCTTTCCTGTTGCCTTCCCTGATTCCTCTTCATCTGCTGTACCCCCTCGGTTCTTCCCTCTTCTCTTCCTGGATGATCTCACAGACCCCAATGCTGATATCCCAGGTCTCCTACCCTGAGACCCCCTCCCCTGATTTCCAGAGTCATGTGATTCATATATCTGACTCTTTCGTGTGCAGCTGCTATCCCATTTCCTATTGTGGTGAATGGCCTTAATATGTCCCCAGACCGTGCCAGAGACCTAGCAGTCATCCTAGACTTCCAATATTTACGTAGTAACTGTCCCACCTTAAATATTTTAAATGTCTTCGTCTTTAGCTTCCTTTCCATTCTCACTTCCACTTCCTTAATCCGGACTCTTGCCTCTCCTCCGTAGACATTGCTAGAGTTTTCTCATTGATCTCCCTGTCTCCAGTCTTAACCATCCTCTAATCTAACACCAGTCGGGGCAGCTACCAGGGCAGCTCCCCACTGCTTAGAGACCCAAGTTCCATGGTCTGTAAAACAGCGTAAAACCCTCCACAATCTGGCCCCCGCCTCAGCTGCTTTCTCTGCTCTCACCTATAAGTCATCAATAGGAACAGCTGCTATGTGCCTGCCCACACACCCCCCCCTCTCCACCCAGACAAGGGTCTGCTTCCCTCAAAGTCGGCCATCATCTCTGCAATCCAGCTGTCATCTGTACACACCTGTGTATAACGCTTCAGATGCTCAATAGCTTTGATTTACTCGCATCCTTATCTGACCTCAAGTGCAGGGGACACCTATGTCCTCAATGACATTCTCATCTTCTTCTGTCATTACTATTGCTATTAGGCATTACCTCTGTAACTTCCAGGAATCTACTCTGTATCAGACACTGTATCGAGAACTTTAATAGACTTTCTTATCCAATTTGATGTTTATAACTATCCCATGAGTAGACATTACCCACATTAAGTTACTGGCAGAGTAGTTTCCATGTACCAGACACATGTCATGTAGTCAGAGTGGCTCCTACATAGCAATCATTCAGTGACTGATTGCTCAAGTCAGTGAAATTAACCAAATCACTTAATGAGCTAGTTAGCAGATAAAAAAACACGTGTGTTATTATTACTTGTATCAGTAAAAATAACATATTATGGTAAGTGTTTTACTTATAGGTTCTCATCTAATTCTCACAACTCTCCTATGAGACAGGTATTAGAATTCCCAGATTACAGAGGAGACACAGAAGTAAAATAACTTGCTCAAAATCTCGAAACTAATCAAATGCAGTATTCTGAACAGCTGGTCTACCTTCCTTAAGTTCACCAGGGGCTTCTGAGACTAATTACGCTATAGGCACTCAATAACCACTGTGACCATCATAGCATTATAAACCTTAGCCAGGCGAGGAGATGGACAATAAATCTCTGCACATGCAAGTCTAAATCCTTTTAAAAGTTTTCCTTTTAAAAGTTTTCAGTTTATTCAGCCTATTAAAATTTATTAGATACTCTAAGAAGCTAAAATAGGATTTAAGAACACAAAATAAATATTAATATTTACAACATAAGTGGAAGAAAAAATAAACTTTCTACACACAGCCTACAAGCCAGGGAGAACCAGTTCAAGTCAACCCCCCCTATGGTTTGTCAATGGCATACTGAAGACAGATTAATACCAGTACTAATGAAGCCCATAGCCCAAGAGCATGCGTTAATTAGAATAATAAAGTAAACCGGTGATTCATCTGTGAATTCCTTTGGGGTGGAAGCTGGTAGAAACCATACAAACATCTCAAAGTTGTAAAAACACTGCTACAGTTTTGCATTTGTCACTGTTAAGGGTAGCAAAGTAAATTAACAAAAGAGGAATAACATAAGTAATAATTTTCTATCGTCCACTTTAAGAAAAACTAATGTGTAACCAGCCCATATAGGAGGTAGAAGAGCAAAGTCAAAATGGGAGAGAAGGATGGAAAAATGGGCCAAACGTTCAAAATGGACAAAAGGATGTTACGAAAGAAGGGAACCTAAGTGGGAAAAGAATGTAGGTGGTTAATGGTAAAATCAGAGGAACATAAGACAGTGCAAATTACAGACAGGTGAATACGAAGAAACAGGACAAATGAGGAAAGGAGTTTGTGGGGAGTTACAGCTTTTAGCTTTTAAAAACTTGTGCTTCCACGGTATTCTGAACGGGCAGAGTTCGTCTTTGGCATCCCCTGCACCGTTTTCCGTGGTTGTGAAATACACCAACACTCTCCCCCACTTCCAGTCCCTTCAGCCTCCTTCCTCCAGGGGGGGAAAAATTACTTTCCTGAAATAATCTGGTAAGGGCTAACTCAAAGACTGAAAGAACGGGAATAACAAAGAAAAACATATTTGGCCTCAAGGCGAAGAGGGGACTAGGAAAATGCACAAAGACGCAGAGTAGGGAAGCCAGAATATCACAGAACGGGGGTACTGGAAACATTCTATTTCTCTGTATTATATCTACTTCAGAAAAGATTTTGCAGCAGCTTACGCCATGAAGGAAGAGGAAAGGGGAGAGAAAACACTAGAGAAAAACCATTAAAATTAAGAAAAATATTCTGAGTTTCCTGGCAGCCAAGACAAAGAGGAAAACCCAAGTTTATTGAAAGGAAGCAAATCAACTTATGTTTTTGGAAAAAAAACAAGCCAACAATATATTAGAAGCCAAAGGAAAAAAGTGGTAAGAGGTGGAAAGGGACCCAAACCACCCCCACCCCAAACCAAAAAAAATAGGCAGTGGGGTAAAAAGAATACGATGATGATCAGTGCAGGAAAGAAGTGGAATTGGTAGAAGAGGTACTGTAGAAAAGAGAATTTATAGTCATGTGAAGGCAAAGCCACACCTCAGGCAATACAGATGGGAAGGTAAGAAACATTCTCCACCTCCGAAAACACTACCACAGTGAGCCGGCTGCTTGAACACTGTAAGGGGGTGTGTGTGTTGCTTGTGTAATGCATTATATACCCCTGGCAGAAGTAATACATTAGACTTTCAAGTCATTTGGGCTTTGAGTTAGCCCTTACCAGATTATTTCAGGAAAGTAATCTCCCCCCCCCCCCCCCCCCCCCCGCGGAGGAAGGAGGCTGAAGGGACTGGAAGTGGGGGAGAGTGTTGGTGTATTTCACAACCACGGAAAACGGTGCAGGGGATGCCAAAGACGAACTCTGCCCGTTCAGAATACCGTCGAAGCGTAAGTTTTTAAAAGCTAAAAGCTGTAACTCCCCATACAAATAGGTGGGAACTTTTTCATCAGGACGCTGTGTAACTTGACTCTTAAGACACCAAATGTGCTAGTGACAGAAAAAGGAGACACTCAGAAATATGCCTGGCGAAGGGTGAGGAAACGGGAAGAAAAGAGAAGGAACCTAGGAGCGGTCAGGGAGAGGCGCTCCCGGCGGCGAGAGCGGCTGGTGAGGGGTGCGTGGGGAAGCTGCCGCCGAAGTAGCAGGGCCCGACGGCTGGAGAAGGGAGCGAGGGTGTGGGGGCGGGGGGAAAGCGCACCTCCAAATTCAGCATCTCGGACTCTGAGGACTCCTCGGATTCCACTTCGCCCTTGTCCTCGTATTCCTCTCCGTCCGCGTCCGACTCCCGAGAGCGGTGAATGAGCTGCTGGAGCAGGTAGGAGGAGGCTTTACGGAAAGTACCTTTCGGTCTCTGCCCCATGGGAAAAGAAGACCAGCAAGACTGACGCTCTGAGTGCGGCCGAATCCACTGGGCTCCAGTTCGTGGACTGCTCTGGAGAGAGGAAGACATCGGCCACTGGGGATCGCTCCTGGCGGTCGCCATCTTGTTTACCGGGGTTGCCTAGGAGACTGACGCCGGGCAAGGAGGCGCCGCAAGGGATTCTGGGCTGTAACCTCCGCCCCTCCGCGCGTCTTGGCTTACTGTCTGAACCACCAATGACTCTCGACTTCTTTCTTTTCGTCTGACTCGTCTGGCTGTTTTTTCTTTTAGTTCGTTCAATCGCTGGTTTTCTTTTTACTTGTCTTGCTCATTTTCACCTCTTTTCTTAGCATCCGTTTTGTCTCCAGCTCGTTTCTCCTCACCTGGAGATCCCTCTTGGAGATTTTTCTTCCCACCCTAACATCACCTGTGAGCCTCCTTCATTCACCTGCTTCATTCACAGAGGCCTTTTCCGCAGAGTGATACTTTGAAAGTATTAGATGTCTCTAATGCTCTCTGTCGGAAAGCTAATTAACACTGAAACTTTACTCTAAGCGCACCGCGCGGTGTTAGGAGACCAGGTTGTGCATAAATGAAATAGAAGGCAAGGCTCCTGTCCTTATTATTTAATTGCAGATACTAAAGAGAAACTACCAGACGAGGACTGAGAGCTGATTTGCAATTAATTTACATTTCCCCCCCTGAAATGATAAGCCATGTCCTTGGGGAGAAAAATGGGCAGCGGTCTAACAATCCAAACAGGAAAAAAAAAAAAAAAAAGATTGTCAAATTGACCCTGTATCTGAAAGCCTCCGAAAAGCTATTAGCATCCCATAAATAATTGTATTAGTCAAGTGACCTGCATTGATAATTATTTTTATCTTGTTGCATAGGTTCTCTGTGCAGTTTCATAAAATACTCTTGCAAGATTACAAAGCATGAATTTATGCTAGTGTGATTTTATGTGACCCAAATCCCATAGCCTCGAGCTCCACAAAATAGACTATGGAAAAGCAGAATGAAAATTAAGTAACTATTATTGCCATAGTGATGACAATAGAGATCCTTGCAGGGAAGTCGCTCTCATCCTCCTGGCCTTACAGGGCTTTTTTTCTCCATGCTTCAGTGATAGCAGTTGCAAATACAAAATGATCCTGTCAATGGCTGTCAGGGGAGAAGAAGAAAAATCCTTATGGACATCATCCATTGACTATTATCTTTCTCAGTGCTTGAGGGACCGTTAAAACTGACATAAAGCTTTCAGAATTACCTTCCTTCATTATCTTGCTAGCCATAAATGTAAAGGCCACAATGAAAGTATCTCTTTTCGCTTGGCTCATCTTGCTGCTTGCTTATTTCTTTTTCCAGTGGGTAGAGACTCCTCCAAGGGATTTTTCCTTGTTGTCACCCCCATGGGACCTGGCTCTTGCTAACTGACATAGGGAAGAAGGGGGCAAGACGTCTAAAAATGGAAAAACCCAGTGTGGTTTTGGTTTCTTAAAATAATCAGCATTTCTAGCAAAGCAAGATTTGCCAATGTCAAACTATTGAGGACAGTGTCTTAAGACAGAGTTAGTTAGGACCTGTCAAAGAATAATTTTCAAAAAGTTAACATGATTCTCATACAAAAATGGAATAAAACACCTGTGAAAGATTTTATTCAACTTATTCATGAATGAGAGAACCAGTAAGATGGTAACAGGGTATTCATAGTCCGTAAAGAAAGGCATTCTGAAATAAGTTCACTAAGTTAAAGGGGAAAAAAACGATTGATACCCTACAGGACATTAAACTATAGCCTCTGGAGTTATGTATTTCCGTTTTTAAAAATATTTATTTATTTATTAGAGTGTGTGTGAGCAGGGGGCAGGGGGAAAGGGAAAGAAGCAGACTTCCCGCTGAGCATGGAGCCAGACACAGGCTCAGTCTCATGACCTGAGCTGAAATCAGGAGTCCAACGCTTAACTGACAGACCCACCCAGGTGCCCCTGGAGTTATGTATTTCTGAATGCTTTCTTTTCACCTTCACATTTACCCCGTGTCTATACCCATTTGACAGATGAGGTAACTGAGGCCCAGAGAAGCTAAATAACTGGCCCAAATTCAAGTGGTGGTACTGAAATCCAAACCCAGAATGACCAGTTCCACAGTCTGCCTTCAACTACCGTTTTTGCAGATGGAAAATGTGAGTCAAGATAAAAGTACAGGAGAGGTCTCAGAAGAGAAAACATGTATCAGTTAATGTTCTTAAGTAGAAATAAGAGAACACAGAGAATGACCCTTTCCTATAGAATCATAGCATGTCAGAACTAGAAAGAACTTAAAAGCTTATCTTGTTGAATGTTGCCTTTTATAGGAGAAGGAACTAATGGTCCACCAGAGACAATACCTTGCCCAAAATCACCTGACTTGTTAGCAGCTGGGCAGGAATTACGAGTTTAGACCTCTCATTGCTCAATCTTTGTTCTTGCTAGGTCACCAAAATGCTCCTGATGCTGGAATCATGAATAGAACACTTTGGGATTCTGGGCATCAAAATAGAAGGCATTACCTGCATAAAAGTTATGTTACCAGGTAGAGAAGACAATTAGGCACAGGGAGATGGCACAAAGCTTACCCTAAGTGCCATCTACATATCTCAATGAATTACTCCAATTGCTCTCTGAAATAGGAATTGATATTCCCATTTTACTAAGGGGAAGAATGATGCTCCAAAATGCTAAGCAAATTGCCCAGTCACACAGTTTGTGTCCACACCAAAAGTCCAACTCGTCTTACTGGATCCAAAGCCTCTGGTCTTAACCATTAGTACTCTGTCTTCTCCAAAAGTAAGAATTGGTTTCTCAGGAAGTAATTGTGAGGCACAAAGAGCATGGCCTTGATGATATCCTGAAAATTAGTGTACGTGTGTGCATGCATGTATGTGTTGGGGGCCAGGCAGGAAGAGCTCAGGATTCTGGGACCAGGGAAATAGAGTAGGGTGGGCGGGCAGTGGAATATGATAATCCAGGAGAGCAGGGGCTTCTGGGATAGCCCTGGATCCTTTCCATTGTGGATGAGGGAAAGGAGAAAGTGGAATAGTATCACCATGATGCTGAAGAGCACCTCTCTTAAGAGGACAAACAGAATAGGCTACTGGGAGGGGAGAGTCAGAGGGGTGAAGAGCTGTAGTTTGAAAGAAGGTGCTAATTACCAGTTTTAGCGACTAGGTAGCTTGGCCCCTATAATATTATTTATCCTTACTCCTGACTTTTTGTGTGGAACAGGGGTCTCCCCCCAATCTGAAGCCAGCACTCTAATGTAATTGACAATGAAAAGAAAAGGCAGGGACCAACCCTCTATTTCCTGTATTTGGGGACACCACCTTCCCAGGAGTGTGGACCTTGGGCAAAGCAAGGAATGTGTGCCTCCATCCCCTTCATGTACCTATGCCCCAATTTTGTGCAAGGGAAAACAGGTGGGACAATGTTTCTCAGGTATGTTGAGATGGCAGCACCTTGAACTTGTGGTGTTTTTTTATGGAATACTTAAATTTTTACAGAATATCATGAAATGGGAGAACACATAGGCCATAGAAGGCACCATTGATATGAGTAACAATGAAAACATAACCACTACTAATGTTTACGGGTACTTACTATGTGCCAGGCACCCTTATAAGTGATTTACCCATATTAATTCATTTTATCCCCATAAGGACCCTACAAAGTAGAAATTAAAATTATCTCCATATTATAGATGAGCAGTATAGGCATAGAGGTTATAACCCACTCAACCTACTTTATCACACAGTGGCAAAGCAAGGACTCAAATGGAGAGAGCTTGGTTTCCCAGCCCACATCCTTAATCAAAACACTCTACTTCATGGGGCGCCTGGCTGGCTTAGGTGGAACAGCATGCAACTCTTGATCTCCAGGGTTGAGTTCAAGCCCCATATCTGGTGTAGAGATTACCCAAATAAATAAATAAGCTTAGAAAACAAAACAAAACACAGTACTCCCATTCAACCACTTTAGTAAAACTTTGTGAGGGATGTTATGGACTGAAATTTTCTATCCCCCTCCCCCCAAGTCCCTATGTTGAAATCTAATCCCCAATGTGATGGTATAAGGAGGCGGGGCCTCTCGGAAGTGATTAGGTCATAAGGGTGGCATTCTCATGAATGGGATTATAAGAGGCCAGAGAGCTAGCTCCCTCTTTCTGTCCTGTGAGGACACAAGGGGAAGGTGGCAGTTTGCAAGCTGGAATTCTTCCCCAGAACCTGAACCTGGCGCCAAGATCTTGGACTTCCAGCCTCCAGAACCGGGAGAAGTAAATTTCTGTTGTCTATAAATCACCCAGCTTATAGTATTCTTTTTTTTTTTTAAAGATTTTATTTATTTATTTGAGAGAGAGAATGAGAGATAGAGAGCACGAGAGGGAAGAGGGTCAGAGGGAGAAGCAGACTCCCTGCTGAGCAGGGAGCCCGATGTGGGACTCGATCCCGGGACTCCAGGATCATGACCCGAGCCGAAGGCAGTCGCCTAACCAACTGAGCCACCCAGGCGCCCTTATAGTATTCTGTTATAGCAGTGTAAACTGACTAAAATAGGGGAGACCCTTGAAGTTGAGATTATTTAATGCATTAACATCATACCTTGTTTGCTTTGTTATCCCTTTCTATGAAAAAGAGATTATTCTTCATAAGGAAGTTCATTATCTAATAATAGCCTAGTGGGACTATAGACAATAAACAAATAATTATACAAATAATTGTTTAATTTCAATTGCCATAAAGGCTAACGAGGGAAAATATAGAAGCCATGAGAACATAACCTAGGGCCTTGACACATTATGATGTGGAAGGATCCTTCAAAATGTTAACACAGACACTTTGAGCCTCATAATTATTATCAAACAGGTGGGGGAAAGACAATACAACAAATGAGGAACTTCATTTGTTATCTTTGCAGAAATCAACTGCATCCAGACTATGGTGGGAGTAATTAATTGGGCTGGTAGAGCCTGATAAAGTCGAGGCAGGACTTGAGTGAGCCAAATAATATGTGTTCTAAGTAGTGACGCCTGGGTGGCTCAGCCAGTTAAGCATCTGCCCTCGGCTCAGGTCATGATCCCAGGGTCCT